GAGGCCCTTCAGATGTCCCCAGCGTGTCTTGTTCCCTCCAGTACATCCAACCCACTTAGGAAAATCAAATTAAGCGAAGTGTCCAGCTGTTAACAGCAGGACTGTCTCGGGCCAGGTTGCTTCCGGGCTTGTCCTGGCACGAAGCCTGGCAGATGGGCTCACGCTGTCCTCTCCCTGACCTTGACTGGGGAGGCAGGAGTTTCTCCAAATTAACAAGAGTTCTAGGAAAAGGAAAATATGTCGGGGAGGGGGGCAGGGGGGGAACCACCTACTCTGGGGAGTCAAGAGGTCTCGGGAGCTTCACTTAAGCCCTGACCCAAGGACACTTGGGTTGATGGACCAGGGCAGGAGGGAAAAAACGCTGACAAAGACTCGCCCTGGTGGAAGGAACTGGCGTGGTGCCAGAGCTTCCGGGCCACCAGGTGGCCGAGGGAGTGACCAGCACTCTGAAGCGGTGGTCAGAGGGCTGAGCTGAGCTTGGTTGCATTTGGAGAAGCTTGTGTGCGCTTCGAGCGGGAAGGAAATGCAGAAATGGGCAGGGCTGTCCACTGTGACTTAAGCGAGAGAGGGCCTGTGAGGGGGGCCGTACGGAGGGTCGGGAGGGCAAGAATGGTATACACGGTGGCGTGTGTGTGTGTGTGTGTGTGTGTGTATGCTGAAGGCAGAGTCCCCAAGGTGGAGAGTGAATGAGCAGCGTTAAGACGGACTGTGATTTCCTGCTTCGAGTAACTGGGAAGATGGTGAAATCCTGTTTAAACACAGAAAGGCCAGTGGAAAAACAAGTTTGCAGGGAGTCTGGTTCCTCTAGGCGCCTGTCTTGCTCTCTTAGTCACAGGAGGAATAACTCAGGTCCCTGCCTCGCTTTTGGTGGAGTCAAGACCTGCTGCCAGGGGGCTGGAGCAATAGCACAGCGGGTAGGGCATTTGCCTTGCATGCGGCTGACCCGGGTTCAATTCCCAGCATCCCATATGGTCGCCCTGAGCACCGCTAGGAGTAATTCCTGAATGCATAAGCCAGGAATAACCCCCGTGCATCTCCAGGTGTGACCCAAAAAGCAAAAAAAAAAAAAAAAAAAGAAAAAAACTGCTGCTGGCGTTTGAGCCGGAGCCTTTGGGGCTGGCAGCAGTGTGGCCATTGGCAGGGACAAGGCTGCAAGTTTCTGGAGCACTGACCTGACCCTGCTCAGGCTACTGGGGGTCAGGGGGAGAGGGGGCAAGGGTGGAGAGGAGCCACAGCCAAAAGGCCCCCAGATCTAGCCCTGGACAGAGCCACTCGCTAGGAAAAGAGGGAAGGGAACTAATACTTTAGTTATTATTTAGTTATTTCGAAGTCAAGCGCTTTCGAAGGCGACACTCAAACTTTGACAGAAAGCTTCCATGTTAGTTCAGAGACGCGTTATTTCTCCAGCGGTGTAATTAGTTTAGGAAGAAAATAATTAAAGATGTAATTGTGTAAGCCAAGAGCGAAACCATTCTGAATGGCCCAAGGTTGTGAACTTATTTAATTTGCCCTGTCCCCAAGGAGCCCTTTCTTGGATCATTGACTTCTTATGATTCGGTAAAACCCTGGTCACCCTGGTGGTCCTCTGGGTATTGCCCGAGCGCCAACCAGCTGTGGGGTCTGAAGAGTTTCTGCTGATTGGATTTTAATGACGGTTGTAAAAGGTCATTCCTAAAAGTAATAGAAACTTAAGTATGTGGAAACAGAATGGATAAGACTGACTCGAGGGTATTTCTCGCCGCTCCGTAGACATATGTTTGGTTCCTAAAAGCAATTAAGAAGAATACATTCTTTTAATCAATTTACTGATGCCGTAATTCAAACACTCTTGTAGAACGGGGTTTGAAATCCCTCAGTAACAAAGTGACTCTGCAAACACCGGCTTAACATATTAGACAATATTGATAGAACAACACCTTATTTTGTTAATATAATCTCGGCACCGGCGCTATTGTAATTGCACCTCATCATAATACTTGTCAATACCATGTGTGTAGTGTTTTCCGATACTTTTGAGAGACTGGACAAACTTCAGCCTAAATTGAAACCTGACTGCACAGGAATTATTAAGTACAGAGGGATCTGAGAGATCATTTAGTGCTGCCCTTTCAAATACGCACTAGTGGTGAGTGCTTTAGCTTTTATCCAAAATAGCGTGTACCGGACTGTGAAAGGAGTCCCCAAGATAAATGGCAATTGTTTGAGTCATCTAAACGAAATTGGAGTAAAAGTCCACGGAAGGGTAGGCGAAAAGAAATAAATTTAGACATTCCCCAGGCGCGGATCACTTAGCAAAGGTTTCCCGTGTCCCGGGCCAGGGAGGAGGCAACTTGTTGCAGGGTTTGTGGGTGCAGGTGCGTCTCTACCTGTGGGCCCTCCCGGCTAGGGCCTGATGCCTGAGTTTCACCCCACCAGGACTCACAGCTATCTTTCCTGTCCTTTTTTCCTTCCTTTTTTTTTTTTTTTTGTTTGTTTCTGGGCCACACCTGGCTGTGCTCAGGGCTTACTCCTGGCAGACTGGGGAGTTCCTAGGTGGCACCTGGGATTGAACCCTGGGCCGCAGGCAAGGCAAGCCCCCCACCGACCTCTGTGCATGGCTCCAGCCCACTCCCCTTCCCAATCTGAGCCCCCGCCCCAACCCCTCAGGCTGCTCTGGCTCTTGGGGAAGCTTTCCAAGCAGCTGCCCTGCCGGTTCCTTTTCCCTCTTTGCTGGGTCATGCTGTGTGCCTCGATGGGATTTTTTTCCCCCTAGAAGCCCTCTCTTCACTCCTATCCCTCAACCTCCAACCCCAGTGAGGCCACAGTAGTTTGGAGGCAAGTCTTGTTCGGTTTTCAAATGATGATCAAAACCAAAACGTTGGGGCTGGAGCAATAGCACAGCGGGTTGTTACTATAATGCCTTGCATGCGGCCAACCTGGGTTCGATTCCCAGTATTTGATATATGGTCCCCCGAGTACCGCTAGGAGTAATTCCTGAGTGTAGAGCCAGGAGGAATCCCTGAGTATCGCTGGGTGTGACCTCCCCCACCAAAAAGAAAAAAAGAAAAAAAAAACAGTTCCCCCGCTGAGTTCTTAAATCTAAGAACAGTGTCTGGGACATATCAACTACTGATATGGAAGGACTGAACGAATAAAGAGAGAGAGAGAGTACTAAAGCACTTGACATTGATAGTTTATACTGAACAGTAACAGGAAGAAGTTACTCTTTTCAAAAGATGCCTCTCTGGGGCTGGAGCAATAGCACAGAGGGTAGGGCGTTTGCATTACACGCGGCCAACCCGGGTTCAATTCCCAGCATCCCATATGGTCCCCTGAGCACCGCCAAGGGTAATTTCTGAGCACAGGGCCAGGAGTAACCCCTGTGCATTGCGGGGTGTGACCCAAAAAGCAAAAGATAAATAAATAAATCAATAAAAATAAATAAATAAAAAGATGCCTCTCCCTTTTTATGCATTTCTTCCAGAATGAGAAAAGATATATAACTTGGCGTCAGTCAGACACAGACCAAATGTTTTTAGTATTATTGTATATTCCATTTCCCCCCACAGGTTATGGTAAAATGTAGCTTCTAGAGAATTACAAAGCAAAAGGCAAGATACAAGATACTATACATAAAAATCCCATCCATTCAAACAACCGTAACTATGGATTTTAAACTTTCTCCACAAAGTTCCTTTAAAAAAAAAAAGAGTTTTTGATTTCTTCTCTGTTTTTGAAATTAGTGATTGTTCAAGGGGTGAGAGAGATAGTCCCAGAGATAAGGCACTTGTCCTGCACGCAGGCGACTGTGATTCAAACCCCAGCACCCCACCCGGCCCTCTAAGCCCGGGGAGGAGACATCCCTGAGCACAGTCAGGAGTAAGCCCTGAACACAGCTGGGTGTGGCCCAAAATCAGAAACCAAAGATAAAATAAAATAACTGACAATGCCAGTACCTCCCCCCCCCCCCTTTATTTTTTGGCGTTTTTGGGCCACACCTGGCGATGCTCGAGGCTGACACCTGGCTCTGCACTCAGGAATCACTCCTGGTGGTGCTCGGGGGACCATATGAGATGTGGGGGATGGAACCCAGATAGGCCACTCACTGCAGGCAAATGCCCTACCTGCTGTACTGTCCCCTTGTACCAGAATCCTAGTACTTCCCCTTAGAGAATGGTTCTGAGCTGAGACCTTAGTTTCGGAAATGAAGCAAGAGGGAAGAAATAAAAAAAAAAAGCGAATTTTGGGAATCCAACTGCACCCTTCCATGCGGGCTGAGGACTTCCACGGCTGCCCAGAAAGCATTTCTCTCCTTTCAAGGGACAGAAAAGGCAGCAACCCCGGGCCCTGGGGAAGGGGGCGGGGCTCCACGCCTTTGGACGGGGTTCGAGTACCACCCGCCCAGACTGCACTTTTTTTTTTAGGTTAAAGCTGGGGGGGGGGGGGGGGACAGCAAAAAGCAAATCCCCCCCCCCAAAAAATAAACCAAAAAAACCCACAGAAATCTCTGGATGTCCTCCGTCATACAACTTCTAGCATGCAATCAAGGTTTGCTTTCTCAACCTCACTTCGGCCAAGGGTGGTGGCCGAGGGGGTCACTCCGATCTCCGATCGCGCCTGGCCACCGCGGCGCACGGCCAGGCCCCACCGCACGGCGGTGTCCCCTAACCCGGGTCTCTGGCCCTGGCGTCCAGCTGTGGGGCAAAGGCCCTCCTCCGCGTCTGAGTGTTGGGGCCGGGCGGGCATGTGGCCAGGACGGGGGCGGGGGTCCTGTCGTCCCCCCGACCACCCCCCCCCCCCGCGGGATCCAGCCTGCCACCGGCCACCGACACACGCCCCGCGATGGGCACGGCGCGACCCGGAGGACCCGATCGCGGGGGGACAGGGGGGATGAGGAGCGATTCCCGCCCCCCGCCCCGGGGGTCGCCCCGGGCCAGGATCGGCGCCCCGGGCGAGGGTCGGCGCCCGGGGTGGGGTGTGGCCCGGCCCTGCGCCGCCCCCCGGCCCCGCCGCCCCCTTACCCTGGGGCTCCATGGTCAGCCGCTGCGGGCCCCGCACGGGCCGAGCCCCCGGCGCCGCCGCCGGCCCTCCAACGCCTCGGCGGGGTCGGCGTCCCCGGTCGCCCGGGCAACGGGGGCGGGGCCGGCGACGGCGAGCGGGGGGGCCCAGCGGGCGCGCGGGGGGCGCGGGCGGCGCAGGGCGAGCCCGAGGCCTGCGCGCCGCTGCCCGGCGCCTCCGTCCGCCGCGGCCTGCTCGGGCCTGGCGCCCGCGTCCGTGCGTCCGCGCGTCCGTGCGTCCGGCCGCGCCGGGGCCTGGGCCTGGGCCGGGCCGCCGACTGCCAGGTAAAGGCCGCGCCGGGCCGGGCCGGGCCGGGGGGGCCCGGGCGCACCTGTTGCGGCCGCCGGGACTCCGCGCGCCCCCGCGCCGCCCGTTGGCGGGGACCCCCGCGCCCCCCGGCCGGCCCCGCCGCCCGCAGGGGCCCCGCGGAGGTGACCCGGGCCGGCCGGGCCCCGGGGCGCGCCGCGATCGCGGACCGGGAGGGGCGTCCGGCTTCCCGGGGCCCGGAGGACCGAACCTGGGGGTGGGTGGGGGGCGGGGGGTGGCCCGGGCCGCGCCCCTGCCCCCCCCCGGGGTCGGCGATCGGGCCGGAGCCCCCCGGGAAGGGGCGCGGGGCCCGTGGGTCGCGGGCAGGAACAAAGAGCGGCGAGTCCCGGGGGCACGGGGCGCGCCCCCCGCCCAGGCCAGCGCGGCCCGGGGGGCACCGGCGGGGCCCGGCCCCCTGCGCCGGGGGATGCGGGGAAGATCCCGGGGGCCGCCGGGGGTCGCGGCTCTCCGCGCTGGAGGCGTGTCCGCCCCCCGGACAGGCTCAGTCGCCTCCCCCTGCTCCCGGCCGCGCAGACTGGGGCTGGAGGGGTCGACCCACGCGCCCCCCAGGGCCCCCCGGCCGACCCCGCCCCACTCGCGGGCGTCCGGAGCTTCCCGGGAAGCAGGGGAGGGGGCTTCTGCTCGGGTCGTGGCCAGCACTCGGGCCCGGGAGCGGGAGTGTCCGTGGGACGGATTCGGGTGGGACCGGCTGGAGGCGGCGCTGGACCTGGCACCTGCCCCGGCTCTGAGCCTTGGCCCCTCTCGGGGGTTCCCGGCACCTGCAGGAGGGAGGGACCCCTGAGCGCAGGACCAAGAGTGAGCCCCCGGGCACCCCTGGGAGCGGCCCCCCCAAATCAAACTCGGGTTGGAAAGCCCACCCTTCCTGGCGCCCTGTCCGCCTCATCGTGGAACTTGTGCTGGAGGGAAGGGGGCTGGGAGGGGGCAGGCTGGTGCCCTTTAGTTGAGACCCAAAGCATCTAAGGGAAAGGGTTTTTTTTTTTTTTTTTTTATGAAAATTCGTTTGTGACTCCAGCTCACTTTTACCACTGGCAAAGCCAGGAATTGGTCTCTCACCCAAGAGGCTGTGATGTTCACGCATAATTTGATCGGAAATGATAAGGTAGTGATTGGGGAAAGGAAAAAAAAAAACAGAAAGAAAATCAGTCCTGGTATTTGGTATATTTGGTCTACAAGGGGTTTCCACGTCCCACCCCCCAATAGAGGAGTAGGCCTGTGGATTTAAAGGGGGAACCCAGGGGCTGGAGTGATGGCACAGCGGGGAGGGTGTTTGCCTTGCACGCGGCCGACCCAGGTTCGATTCCCAGCATCCCATAGGGTCCCCCAAGCACCGCCAGGAGTAACCCCTCTGTGCATCGCCGGGTGTGACCCAAAAAGCAAAAATAAATAAATAAATAAAGGGAGAACCCAGCCCTCTGCAGGTCCTGGCGCTGCCAGCCGGGGAGGGACGTGGTGGGGAGTATTATCCGGTCTCAGTGCACTTTTGAAGGCCCGGATCGGAGAGGTGCAGAGGGCCGGTACAGGGAGGTTGGCGTCAAGGAAGTTTTTGCACAGAAATATTTTGGGTCGTTGGTGATTTGGGCAGCTGGGACAGGTACGCTTTTTGATTATTATCCTTGGAGGAAACGTTGGGGCGGAAGGTGGGAGAGGGGACACAGAACCAGAAATGCCCAAGCCAGAGGCAGATTCTGCTTCTCTTTCTCAGGCCTCTGGTTCAAGGTACTTCCGAAAGTTCGGTTGAATGACCGAGAGGTAGTTACGGGATGTCCTTTCTCACTGGAGCCCGTTCGCCCAGGTCAGAAAGGTGCTGATGCCGTACACGTTGCCCCTTGGGGAGGGGTTCTGAGTTGTGTGTTTATTTATTATTTCGCTTTTCCTATGTTGAGGATGTTTGTTTGTTGGTGGTGGCCCAGGGAGAAGCAAAGACCTGACTTGTTTCCAAGCTCAAGAGTGGTCAGTGTACCAGCATCACTGTTGGGTTTTTGCTGATGGGTCAGGAAGTGGAGCAAACCAAGAGCCAGCGAAGTAGAAACAAATGTAGCCTTTCTTTATCTTATTTAAATATCTTGGTCTTGTTAGAATTTAAATAACTCTGGTAGAAAGTTTCTTACCATGATAAGGTTTAACAAGGATTTTTTTTTGCTTTTGGGGTCACACCCGGCGATGCACAGGGGTTCCTCCTGGCTCATGCAATCAGGAGTTACTCCTGGCGGTGCTCAGGGGACCATATGGGATGCTGGGAATCGAACCCGGGTTGGCCACATGCAGGGCAAACGCCCTACCCGCTGTGCTATCTCTCCAGCCCCAAGGATTTTTTTTTTAAGGACAACTTTCAAATTGGAGGATTTTTTCTTTTGTTGTTGTTGTTGTAACTGTTATTTTACTGGATTTGTGGGCGGGGCGGGGGTGGGGGGGAGATTTTTTCCTCCCCTCCCCTCCCCTCCCCTTCCTTCAGTCGAAGAAAGAAAAATGAATTTTCCATTTTTTTCTGTTCTTTGTTCTTCAGGCCCTTCAAGGCCATGCTGGACCGCCCCAAGGCTCAGCCTTTACTCCCACGCGCAGAGCAGGCAGGCTGGGGGCCATTCTGCCCTGCTGTCCCCTGCCCAGCTCTCTCCCTGGTGGTTCCAGGGCAGGGTCAGTGGCCTTCCAGGGCTTTGCTTCCTCTTCGTTTGGCACCAAAATACAGGTTTGAGCTCGGTTCTCTGCTCTGCAGGTAGGGTTTTCTCTCGTTCTTTTTTTTGGGGGGGGGGGTCACACCTGATGATGCTCAGGGGTTACTCCTGGCTCATGCACTCAGGAATTACTCCTGGTGGTGCTCGGGGGACCATATGGGTTGCTGGGAATCCAACCGGGGTCAGCCGCGTGCAAGGCAAACGCCCTACCCGTTGTGCTATCGCTCCAGCCCCACATCTTCACTTTTTTTTTTTTTTTTTGCTTTTTGGGTCACACCCGGCAATGCACAGGGGTGACTCCTGGCTCATGCACTCAGGAATCGCTCCTGGCGGTGCTTCGGGGACCCTATGGGATGCTGGGAATTGAACCCCTGGTCGGCCGCGTGCAAGGCAAATGCCCTCCCCGCCAGCCCCTTTCTCTCGTCCTTGTGCGTGCAAAATGACCTTGGTTAGGTGAACGTTTGTGATGCTGGTGTCACAACAGAGGGAAGCTCCCGCTGTGTACCTGAGCACTGAAGGCAGGGAGCCGGGAGGCGAGCCTCTGACTGTGGGTGACCACGTGTGTTTCCAGCGATGTACCTCGGGAAAGGAGGTGCTTCGCTTTCTTCATGGATGGGGGGGTTATAAAATGGGGCGACTGTCTAAAGGTGAGAAGTGTCTTCCACACCCAGGCAGAGAACAGTCGTCCCCTGGCACGTGGAGTGCGTTCGATACTCTCTGGATTTGGGGTCACAAGGGGTGAATCGGACAGGAGCTCTTGGGATATATATACGTGTGAGAGCAGGAGGGCTTCCCGGTGGAGGAGCAGCGGGGCCAGCGCCCAGACATCCGTGAGCACCTCCTGGCGTCAGCCTCCGGGGTCGGGGTGGAGAGCACGTGTTTGACGGCAGATCGGGGCGAGAGCAGAAAGAAACAGGAACGAAGGTCTGTGATTTTTGTTCTCCAGGTTAAATGAGAATGGTGCGGTCTGTGACGTCATCTGTTTTGTATTTGGAAAGGGGCCAGAGGGAGAGTCCAGCGGTGAGGGTCTGTACCTGGGTTCTGTCCCTGGCACTGCATGGGCCCCCGAGTCCTACTCGGAGTAAGCCCTGAGCACTGCAGGGTGTGGCCCCACGAGCACTGGAGACAGGAGTTTGGCAGCTGGACAGACCCGGGAGGAGAGGCAGGAACAAAGCAGACGGAAGTGTTGGCAGTAATAGGTGAGGAGACGTCCGTGTCCCTCAGGCCACTGCCGAGCGGGCCAGACAGAGACGGTCGGGCACCTGAGGTGCCAGCAGGACCCCGGTGCTCCGGGCACAGTGCTCTGCTCTGTTCTGGAAACCTGCGTGTGAAGGCCAGGCCCCTCTCGTATACGGAGCGCAAGAAATGCCCCCCGAGTGCCAACTGGCAGCCGACGTGTGCAGGGCGTGGAAACCTGGGCTGGGCCTCGGTTCTACTGGTCGGTGCTGGCCAGGCAGGGGCCGGCAGGTGTGCGAGGACCAGCGGGCGCTGGCGTGGGGACGTGTCCCGCTGTGGGTGTGAGCGTCTGAGGGTGCCCCTGGCTCCTCCAACTTCTAGCAGTCTCGAAATAAGAAAGAAACGCTTCATTTACACCTTATTCCAGGGAGGTTTCAGGGGAGGCTGGGAACCCACTGGGATGGGCCCAGGAGGCCAAGGCAAGCGGGAAGCGGCCCCCTGAAGTTCCAGAAGGACAAAGCCATTTTCTCGGCGTCGGGCACAGTGAGATCAGCACTTTCATGAAACGGTCGGCCGTTTCGAACCGTGCTCTTCAGCAGTTTTCAGCCATTTCCTTTCCAGGGGGAAAGAATTGACCCATTTTCTGGGTGGCTTCTTCCGGGCCATCTGGGCCGCCCTCCCTGGCACTGCATCAAGTGTGTCTTCATTCCCGAGCTGAGGCGAGCCTGTGTTCGCCCAAGGTGAGGAGGACGCTGCCACCGTGGCTCGGGCCCGACCGGGAGGCACAGACACGCCACTTGGAGCTGGCTCATTTGAACCTAATTTCTGAAGGCTTTCTTTCCTCATTGGAAAACTTGAAATAATAACGTTTTAAGCTCTCCAGGGGTCCTTAAGAGGATAGATGAAATAAGGAAAACTTGAAATAATAACGTTTTAAGCTCTCCAGGGGTCCTTAAGAGGATAGATGAAATAATTCAGGTAGAAAGTACCTTGGGTAACAGCATCAGGCCTGTCCCAGGCACCTGGGAAAGGCTAGCTGACCGGATTCTCCGGGCCAGTCCACCTGGAGGAGAGGGCAGACGGCTTCTCTGAGCGTCATCTGCAGACCAGCCCCAACCCCGGAAGCTCCAGCTGCCTGAAGGGAACTCCCCTGGGCACGGTGCCCATGCCGGGCAGGTGTCATTCCGCTGATTTTGACAGCAGAGCTTCCGGGAAGGAACCAGGAGCCCGCCACATTCTTTAACAAGCTTCTCACCTGCCACTGGCCCGCATTCGGAACAGAACGGGTGTAAAGAGGGCTGGAGCGATAGAACCGCGGGGACGTGTGTACGTTGCACGGGGCCGACCCGGGTTCAATCCCCGACACCCCCTAGAGTCCCCTGAGCCCCGCCAGAGCTATCCATGAGCGCAGAGCACCACCGGGTGTGACCGAAAAACAAACAACCAAAACAAACAGAAAAAAAAAAAAAACCCTTCAGAACTGGTGGAGGACAGAGGCTGGGGTTGTGAATGTCACAACCCACGCCCCCTCTCTGCCACTTCCTCCCACCTTTCATTAAAGGGGCACTGAGGTGTGGGAAAGGAGAGAGAAGAACCCGTTTAAAGTGCTGACTCAGGGGCTGGAGCGATAGCACAGCGGGGAGGGCGTTTGCCTTGCACGCAGCCGACCCGGGTTCGATTCCCAGCATCCCATATGGTCCCTTGAGCACCGCCAGGAGTAATTTCTGAGTGCAGAGCCAGGAGGAACCCCTGTGCATCGCCGGGTGTGACCCAAAAAGCAATAAATAAATAAATAAAATTAAATGCTGACTCAAAGAATTTTGACAGTTCTTGGCACTCGGTCCCTGGTACTACCCCCTGACCTCACCTGAGCTCCGTCTGCCAGGCTCTGGGTGCAGCGGGCACCTGCCAGTAACGTACCTGCCGTCTCATTTCACGGACTCCTGGGCAGGCGTCGCCTTCCTTCTCTCTCCGGAGAGTGGTACGGGGTTATGGGACCAGCCCCAAACACACGCAAATGACCAAGACGTAATTCTTGATCTGGCAACACTGTTTTATGGAGATTGGGGGAAATTTGATTCTTTGTTTTCATAACTGCCTGCTTACAGGTTAAATTAGATTCACCTTGAGTGGCAACCTTTGGCAAATTATGCAATCTGCAATGTTTCAGTTGTTGAACATGAGCTTGAAGAGGGCCGGTGCGGTAGCACAGTGAGAAGGGCGCTTTGGCTTGCAGTGGCCAACCCGGGTTCGATCCCTGGCACCCCAGCTGGCCTCCCGAGCCCCACCAGGAGTGATCCCTGAGTGCAGAGCCAGGAGTAAGGCTTGAGCAACAGCAGTTTTGCCCCCCCCCCAAAAAAAAAAAACCAAGCCAAACTGACCAATAAATAAAGGTAGTTGCCCAGAGCGGTGTGAGGCAACTCGGACTAATCTGACCTGGGTTTGGGTCTGTTTTCCTTTCCCTTGTCTGACTTTGTCAGCTGGTCATTGTGAAGAGCCTCCGGCCCAGCCCTGATGGGAGAAAGACCCCCTTCTCTCTCTGGAGAGCGGTACGGGGTTATTGGACCAGCCCCAAACACAAAGACCCTTGTGGGTCTTTAGGGGCTAAGTTACTGGGAATGCACTTTGCCACTTCTTAGGTAATTTCTCAGTTGTTTCAAAAACGTTTCATTAAAGACCTTGTCTTTCATTGCTTCCAAAATCTCAGGGTGGGGTTCAGGAGCCGGAAATCACAAGAAAAATGCCTGAAGTGTCTAGGTTGACTAAACACACCAAGGACAGTTATCAGTTCAAGTCAGCCGTGGCCACAGGTGGAAGGAATAGCCCCACGCCTCACTCTCGACTCTGTAATAGTCCCCGTTCAACCGGAGCACTAGAAAGCAACGTGCATCCTGGAGCAGTGCCCGGGATCCCTCCCAGGCCACCCAGCTCTCCCCTTGACCGGGGCCGGCCACCATCTCTTGTCCCGGGCTTAGGGGCAGCCTGGCAGTCCCTGCTCTGTCCTCTGTTGCTGTCTACTCCCTGGGAGATGCAGGGGCCTGGGGCCGGGTAGGAGAGTGGTTTTGTTCTGGGCACGGGGCTCATCTTCCTTCTTGCTTTCCAGCCTGGCTGACCTGCAGTCGTGAGCACACGGAGGCGTGCGGCAGCCCCGGCGGGAGGAACTCGGCTTGGGGACAGACGCGGAGCGAGCTGGGGAACCCACTGGCCCCGGCCTTGAATGAGGTCCCGCCGCCGCCGGGGGCAGTCTGAGCTCAGGAGACCCCGGCCAGCTGGCCCGGCCAGTCCCGGCCGTGCTGGGTGCGCTTCCCCCGACCTCTTGGCTGGAGGATGTCCGGCGCCGGCGGGCACTAGCTCGGAGAAGATGGACGCAGAGGAGCCGCCGTGCGCCAGCTCGTCCCCCGAGAAACGCTACTTTCCCGACTCCCTGGACTCCAGCGACGGCGGCGAGGACGGGGCGCTGGCCTGCGAGGACCTGGAACTGAACCCCTTCGACGGGCTGCCCTATTCGTCCCGCTACTACAAACTCTTGAAAGAGAGAGAAGAGCTGCCCATATGGAAGGAGAAGTACTCGTTCATGGAGAACCTGCTTCAGAACCAGGTCGTCATCATCTCGGGAGACGCCAAGTGCGGCAAGAGCTCGCAGGTGAGGGGCCGGAGCGGTAGCACGGCGGGGAGGGCGTTTGCCGGGCACGCGGCCGACCCGGGTTCGATCCCCGGCATCCCATAGGGTCCCCCGAGCACCGCCAGGAGTCATTCCTGAGTGCAGAGCCAGGAGGAACCCCTGAGCATCGCCGGGTGTGACCCAAAAGGAAAAAAAAAGAGCTTGCAGGTGAGGGGGCGCCTCTCGGGGACGCCTCTTGGGGTTGGGGGACAGCAGGTGAGGGGACGCCTCTCAGGGTCGCGGGGAGAGTGGCGCAGGGGGTCTGACTTAACAGCACATGGGGCGTGGCGTGCGGCATTACCCATGCTGAGAAGCCGCTGCATCTTCCCTAGGATACTAGGAAAAAGAAGGAAAAAAAAACCCACTATTTTGTTCACACATTATATTGACCCCAGCTGGGGTCACGTCACTCGTACAATTCTCGTTTTATTGTTTATTATTTTAAATTTTTTGCTGCTGTGTCTGCTTGAAATCCTTTGGGGGGGGGCGGGGCAGTATCCTGGCAGTGCTCAGGACGGCTTCCTGCAGTGCTCGGGGACCTAGCAGTGCTCAGGACAGCCTCCTGCAGTGCTCGGGGACCTGGCGGTGCTCAGGATGGCCTCCTGCAATGCTCGGGGACCCAGAGGTGCTCAGGACAGCCTCCTGCAGTGCTCAGGGACCCTTGGCCTTGCTGGGGAGTGACCCAGCGTCGGCTGCGCATCAGGCGAGCACCTTATCATGAGCTCAGTCTCTCCACTAACCGTCCAGTCATTTTCCTGGTTCATTACCAAGCAGTGTCTGGTCTGTTTCCTCTACCAGCCCCCCAAGGCCCTCCACCCCCACCCCTTGGTCATATGAAGCCTTCTGGGGCCAGTGCAGCTGTCCAGGCACCCTGAGCAGCCCCTCCCGGCAAGGTGACCCCACGACACTGGCCCCTGGCCTGCCTCCAGCCCTGTCCCATCATCTGTGCCTTCACTGTCCTGTTGGCCCTGCCTCCTGGCCTCCTGAAGCCACCGTGATCCCCCTGCTCTGCGCCCTGCCTCTGGCACTGCTCAGGCATCCATTGCAGCCCCTCCCAGTGGGTTACTACTCCATGCAAAGTGCTCAGTCCAAGCCCTCTCTCTCTTGTGAGCACGACATCCTGTCCCTGCCAGCCTCCAGCAGAGCGTCACCCCGCTCAGCCGCCCTCCGGGACTCTCAGGGAACCTCGGAGCCCCGGGTGGCCAGCTTGAGACTCCTGGAGCCCGTGGGGTGACCGCCGTGGGGGCTGGTTGGTTTGCTGTCTGTTGTTTGGGTTCCGGACCACGCCCGGCTGGTCCAGGGCTTGTTCCTGGCTCTGAGCTGCCCGTGGTTGACGCAGACGGCCGGTTTCAATATGGTTTTGCCGAATCACGTGTGATGTTTCAGCCAGGATAGTGGAACATGGGGGGAGTCCAGGATCGGGAGAGAATGAAGAATTAACTTGCTAGGGAATGAGGGAGATGGGAAATTTTCTGTGAATTCACAGGCAGGTGGCCCAGTGACCCAGTGATGGGGTCAGCGATGAAGAGGATTTTAAAAGTATTGCTGGGAAGTAGAAGAAATTAATCAGTTCACCCCATACATGCTTGCGGTTCCAGGGATTATTTGGAGTTGAGGACAGGTCTCTACCCACTAGGCTTCCCTTCTCCTGGAACTGCGGGGGGGTGGGGGGGGGGCAGAGCAGGCCGGCTGCGTCAGATGCCGCTCTGACGGCGCGACGGTTAGCTGGGGGCCCAGGAGACCCTGGAGACGGTGGCGAGGAGCCTGTGTCACAGCCGCCTGCGTGGCTCACCCCTTCCCTTCCTTCAGCGGGAGGGGGACGGGTCGGGGAGGGAAGCTCAGAGAAGTGGGGCACGTCAGATTCCAGGGTCCGCACACCCGCTCTCCTCGTTCTCCAGCCCCTCACAGTCACGGTCACGGTTGTGGTTCTCCCGTTGTTCATCAATTTGCTCGAGCGGGCCCAGTAACGTCTCCGTTGTGAGACTTGTTGTTACTGTGTTTGGCATATCGAATACGTCACGGGGAGCTTGCCAGGCTTTGCCATGTGGGTGAGATACTCTTGGTAGCTTGCCGGGCTGAGAGGGGTGGAGGAATCGAACCCAGCTCACCCGGGCCGGCTGCATGCAAGGCAAACGCCCTACTGCTGTGCTATTGCTCCAGCCCATCAAATGTATTTATTTAATACATTTGCTTTATTAGTTAACCTATTAAAATCACTGTCACTGTCCTCCCGTTGTTCATCGATTTGCTTGAGCGGGCCCAGTAACGTCTCCATCGTGAGACTTGTTGTGACTGTGTTTGGCATATCGAATACGTCATGGGGAGCTTGTCAGGCTCTGCCGTGCAGGCGAGATATTCTCGGTAGCTTGCCGGGTTCTCCGAGAGGGGCGGAGGAATCGAACCCGGCTCGGCCGGGCTGGCTGAGCGCAAGGCAAACGCCCTACCGCTGTGCTATCACTCTAGCCAGTAGCACTTGTAAATACTTTAGATCGATTGTTTTTTTCATCTTGGAATCACAAAATCACAATCACAAATCATCCTGTTAATCGTCAATTGCCTCGAGCAGGCCCCAGTAACGTCTCCTTCATCCTAGCCCTGAGAAAATAAGAAAGTGCTATATTCAAGGCTCTTTAGGAGAATGAGACCCATCATTGTTACTGGTATTTGGCATATTGGGTACACCACGGGGAGTTTGCCAGACTCTGCCGTGTGGGCAGGCTACATTCGGTGGCCTGCCAGTTTGTCCAAAGTAGGAATGAGATAATAAGATGTCATAATAAGATGTCGCGCGGCCCCAGAACCCGCGTGACTTTGTCCCTCTGCCAGTACCTTCATGTGTGCGGAGAGTGGTCTCAGCATGGTGGTGGCTGGTCCTGGAGGTCTTCGGCTGCCGGAGCCCTGGTCGGGGCGGGGAGGAAAGCTCAACCCGCTCCCCTCCAAGGGACCCCGGCGAGGAACAGTCAGGCGCAGGGGCAGGAGACTGCAGTGTTCTCGTCCAGGATCTGCATTTTATAGTCTCTGAGTCTTGGCCGCTGATGGGATTACACGGCGCCAGGGGGCCAGGTGGTGGGTGTGACCCCCGCCTACTGGAATTTGGAGGATCTGGGTGGAGGATGCTCGGCCCAAATCCGAGTAGGCTTGGAGATCTCGGCCCCGGAACCCGCATGACTTTGTCCCTCTGCCAGTACCTTCATGTGTGCGGAGAGTGGTCTCAGCATGGTGGTGGCTGGTCCTGGAGGTCTTCGGCTGCCGGAGCCCTGGTCGGGGCGGGGAGGAAAGCTCAACCCGCTCCCCTCCAAGGGGCCCCGGCGGCGAGGACAGCCAGGCGCGGGGGCAGGAGACTGCCTGGCAAGCATCTTGGAATAAATTATTTTAAAAATACATCTAAGAGCACAGTTTATCGATAGTGCTCTCAGATTGTAGTGCACAATGGACTGACTACTTTCTACTGCCACAACCTGGCAAAAATGAATTGATCTGTTGCTGGGGTGATAGTGCAGTGGGTCAGGCACGTGCCTTGCACGCTGCCGACCTGGGTTCTAGCCCCCGCATCCCTTCTGTCCCCCAGAGCCTGCCAGGAGTGATCCTTGAGCAAAGAGAAGTCAGCCCTGAACACCGAAAGGGGTGGCCTAAAACATTGTTGATCTATAAACCATTTTCATTTCATTGTTTGGGTTTTTGTCTTGGGGGCCCACCCGGTGGTGCTCAGGGGTTACTCCTGGTTCTGCGCGTAGAGGATCACTCCTGGCAGGGCTTGGGGGACCCTGTGGGATGTCGGGGGTTGAAACTGGGTCGGCCGCATGCAGGGCAAGTGCCCTACCCACTGTACTACTGTTCCAGCCCGCTCTGAACCATTTTCAATGAAAAGGATTTCTGAAGTAAATTACCCAAAAGTAACCTTGGAATTGACTTTTCCCAGATCCGGATGAATTGGTTGATTCTGCCCCTTGGGTTTATTTTTCACCGTGTTTAGATACCAAATGCCAGCATTTTACAGCTTTTATTACCAGGAAACCAAGTGGCCTTATCGGGCTATTTTGTTTTGACCATTAAGATCGACATGCAAATGCTTTTCCTTTGAGTCACCATTCTCCACCTGGCTGGTATTTAATGTCTACCTGAGCCAACAGTAGGCAGGCAGGAAGAGCCATAATTTTGATTGCCCTTTTCTCGTAAGCAGAGAAAAAAATAACTATTTTATATAATTATACAATTATTAACATAATTATTCAATCATATACAATATAATTATTAATATAATTATATAAGTAATAATTATTAATATATTATATAATTAATATATGATTAATACAATATATCAATATAATTATTGATATAATTATTAACCTATAATAATATAATTATTAATATAAGTAGATTCGTGTTTTCAGAAACACAACTGAGGTTAAATTCTTTTGTTTGTTTTGGGTTCAGGCCTCCTGGTGCTCGGGGGTCTCTCCTGGCGGGGCTGGGGGAACTGCACATGTCGCTGGGATCACTGTGTTTGGGTCCCGCCCTGCGTGTTCTGCCACGTGGTTCCGTCCTGGCCACCCTTCCACAGGGGTCACCGTGCCCACCGGCCTGGCCTCGCTCTCGCCCCTGCAGGTCCCGCAGTGGTGCGCCGAGTACTGCCTCTCTGTCCACTACCAGCACGGCGGGGTGGCCTGCACGCAGGTCCACAAGCAGACGGCCATCCAGCTGGCCCTGCGGGTCGCCGATGAGATGGACGTCAACATCGGGCACGAGGTCGGCTACGTGATCCCCTTTGAGAACTGCTGCACCAGCGAGACCATCCTGAGGTGGGTCGGGCTGTCCGAGCCCTCTGCCCCTCACGGTGCCTTGCCCCACGGGGGCTGCCGGGGTGTGAGGACACCAGCCTGACCGTGCCTGCGGGGTGTGTGTGGGGGGGGGGGTCTTTGTGGGTTCTTGAGGCCCCGGGGACTGACCCCACAGCCTTTGAAGTGGGGGCTGTCCTAGGGGCACCTCCTGAGGGCCCCTAGACGCTCTGTGCCGGCCAGAAATGGCTCTGGACACGCTGCTTGCTGGGCCCTAAGGCCCGACCAAGCCCTCCTGGTCAGGCACACCTAGGGGCGGGGACTCTCCTGAGGGGTGGGTGTCTGCAGGGGAAGCACCTGTACCTTCTGGCTCCCGTGCCCAGTCCCTACTGCCCTCTGCCTGTGTCTGTCCCGGGGCTCCCAGCACTGCCCATGTCCATCCTGGGGCTCCCAGCACTGTCCATGTCTGTCCCCGGAGCTCTCGCACCCTGTGGTGGCCCCAGTTGGTGGCCAGCGCCTCCTCCTGCCTTTGGCTTGTGGCCTGGCCACTCTGAGGGTTTCCCGGGTTCGACACAGAAGCAAATGGGAGAGGGAGGGAGGTGGGAGGGACCCGGCCCGGCAGAGCAGCGCCCCCCGGAGGCCGCGTCTGGCCCTGCAGGGGGGGCGGGGGCAAGCGGGCGCTTAGCAGACCCGGAGCAGACCCTGGCCCAGGCCAGCCCGCGACCCCAGCACAGCCCAGGGAGTTGTGCGGTCGATTCTGTGCTGCCTCGAGGGCCTGCAGCTCCTGGCAGGCAGGACACCCCGCGCTGGCCGCTCAGTGGCTCCCGTGGGCTGGACTGGGCTGGGCTGGTGGCACGGACACTCTGCCTCCCCGAGCCATCGCCCCCGGGCCCAGAGAAGCCGCAGACCTGCGAGCTCAGGGCCAAGCCGCGAGGCGTGTCTTGCCTCTGCGGGAGGCGTCCCGGGCAGCCCCGGGCCCGGAGAGGGAGCCCGGCGAGGAGGACGGTGGCGGTTCCCGGGCCTCGGCCGGGATGCGGGGCGCTGGGGGAGATCCGCACCGGCCCGCCCCGCCCCGCCCCAGGTACTGCACGGACGACATGCTGCAGCGGGAGATGATGTCCAGCCCCTTCCTGGGCAGCTACGGCGTCATCGTGCTGGACGACGTGCACGAGCGCCGCATCGCCACCGACGTGCTGCTGGGGCTGCTCAAGGACGTGCTGCTGGCGCGGCCCGAGCTGAAGCTGGTCATCAACGCCTGCCCGCGCCTGGCGCCCGCCCTGCGCGCCTACTACGGGCCCGTGCCGCTGCTGGAGGTCCGGAACCAGCACCCCGTGGAGGTGGTGCACGTCGGCGGCGGCGCCCACGGCCACTCCCTGCAGCCCGCGCTGAGCCTCATCTTCCAGATCCACCGCTCGGGCGAGAGCGGCGACATCGTGGTGTTCCTGGCCTGCGAGCAGGTGAGCGGCCGCCCCCGCTGGCCGTCGTCCCTGGCCGTCCCGGGAGAGACGCGGGCAGACCGCGGGAGGCCGGGAGGCGCCGGCCGGCAGGACCCCCAGGGCTGCGGGGACAGTGTGGGGGCAGCGGGGTCCCGGGGACAGGAGCCCGGGGACACTCACCAGCTCCTGGGCAGCTCTGGGCCGGGCTCGCTGGCCGCAGATCGGCTCGTGTCGAGATGGCCCAGCCCCGCAGACGCCTCCTTGGGGACCAGGAGCGTTTGTGGGAACTGAGGACAGTGACCTCAGCACCTGGCCAGTTACGGAGCCGGAAGTTCCCACTGGTGCCCCTCCAGTGGCGGAGGGCGTGGACAGGAGGGGAGGGTGCTCACTGCTCCCCCACCCATCCCTCTTGCCTCCATCCCCCCTTTCCTTCCCCTTCCCCTTCCTTCCCCATTCCTTCCCTCCCTCCTTCCTTCCCACATTTCTTCCTTCTTTCCTTCTCCGCTTTCTTTCTCATTCCCGCGCTCCCTCCCTCCTTCCTTCCTCCCCCACTCCAGTCAGACTGCAAAGACCTTTTGTGACCCGAGGCATCGGTCTCGCTTAGAATCCTGGAGGCAAGAGGCCAGCCCAGCTACGGTGCTTTTCACTGCCCTGTCCAGAGGGCCCGGCTCGCTGCTGGCCCTGCGCTCTGCGCTCAGTCTGGTGGTGCTCAGGGGACCATACGCGGTGCTGGGCATCGGAGGCTCCGGGCACACATGGCAAGGGCCTTGCTGCTGTGGAACGTTCGGAGGGCATTTCCCTGCTGACTGTCCCGGGCCTGCCCTCCGCACTCCTGGGCTTTGAAATGCGGTGTGTTAGTCACTTCCAGAACGGCCCAGGTGCGAACTTCCAGTGGACGGTGTTTCTGCACCGCCTTTCCTGGGAACCTGGGGGCTGTCCTCAGCTTCTCAGCTCTACCGCCTTCGAGCACAGCGGTGCAGTTTTCGGGAAACGTTCTTCACCTGTCTGCTGTTAATCACGGTCACGGCCATCCTGTTGTTCGTCAATCGCCTCGAGCAGGCCCCAGTAACGTCTCCTTCGTTCTAGCCCTGAGATTTTTTTTTAAAAAGTGCCATATTCGAGGCTCTTCCAGGGTTAGGAGAATGAGACCCATCGTTGTTACTGGTATTTGGCTGTTAATGGAGACCAGAAAGTCCAGCGAGCTAGAAGAACAGCAGGACAGAAGCCAAGAGGCCCGCCAGTGCAGTGGGCAGGGGCCCGGAACAAGGACACGGCTAATAAATCGTGGTCAGCGACCCCCGAGGAAGGTCCTCCGCCAGTTTCGTCTCTGCTGACACTCGCAGGCGACACGGGACGCTCCCCTCAGCCCGCCTCGTGCCCACTTCTCGGCTTGTACTTACGTCGAACGTTGTAGGAGGCAGTAAAGTTGTTCAGAGCACACCCGATCCTCATAAAAGACCGTGTGTTTGTTTGTTTTCTTCAGGATATCGAGAAAGCCTACGAGATTGTCTGTCGCGAAGGGTCAGACTTGAACCCCGACCTCGGGGAGCTGGTGGTGGTGCCGCTGCTGCCCCAGGAGCGGTGCACGCTGTTCAAGCCGGGCGAGGAGCCGGGACCGCGAGGGCCTCCGGGCCAGCGCCGCGTGGTGCTGACGGCCAGCCCGGGCGAGTCGCTCATCTGCGGCCACTCCGTGCGCTTCGTGATCGACATGGGCGTGGAGAGGCGGAAGGTGAGGCCCGAGCGCCCCGAGCCGTGCGACCGGGACCCGTGTTGGTGTCTGGAGGCGGGGGTGGGCATCGGGGTGCCAGGGCCAGTCTCGAGGACGTCACCATGTCAGGCTTCTTCTTGGCTGTTTTTGCCCTTGACCTCGCAAAGCTCCTGCATGCATGCTTTGATTTCTAAGGCTTGTCCTTGGTGGGTTTGTTTGTTTGAGGGCCACACCCTAGGCGCTGGGTGTTTTTCTGGCTCCATGCTCAGGGGTCGCCTGGGCAGGGCGGAAAATCAGACCCGGGTCTGTGCCCCCGGCCCCCCACGACATCTCTCCGGTTTCGGTGTGAATGTTTTTACTTTTTCACTTATGAATTGGAGGGCGGCATCAGAAACTTACCTTTCCGCAGGTGATTTGCCAGAAGTGAGCTTCAAATACCCTGAATCTGCCATCGGGGAATTTTTACTTCCTAGTTGGCATGATAAAATTCGACCTTAAAATTTTCAAACTTCTATCACCCCGTTTAAAATCAAAAGAATAGGAAAAACACAAACGGGGTTAGCTGAAACGCTCAGAGACAGCGGGATGGCAGGAATCGTAGCATCTCAGAACCGAGCGGCGCCAGGCCACACACTGACCCCATCTGCCACTCACCCTCCCCGGGACGGGGCCTCTTCCAGCCAGCGCGGCCCCGGGGCAAGCAGCGACTGTCCCACACCGTGCCCGGCCTCTCCTCCATGGCCCATTGGCTTGTGCGGCGGCACAGCTGGAGTGTCAGTGGACACATACCCTCACGTAGGGGAGGCCAGGCAAAGAGTGCGCGCGTGTGTGTGCATGTGTATGGGGGTGTGTGTGCGTGTGTAATAGTGTGCATGTGTGTGTATGGAGGAGTGTGGTGTGTGGGCATGTGTATGTATATATTGGGGAATGTGGGGTGTGTGTTCATGCATGTGTGTATGGGGCGTGATGTCTGTGTGCATGTGTGTTCATGTGAGTCTGGAGTCTGGCAGGGTCCGGGTCCAGGTGCGGAGACCAGCCCCCCGCCCGCCCCCCCCCCCCCCCCCCGTCCCCAAGTGCCTGCGTCTGGGGCACTGACCGCGTGTCTCTCTCTCTCCAGGTGTACAACCCTCGAATCCGGGCTGACTCACTCGTCCTGCAGCCCGTGAGCCAGAGCCAGGCCGACATCCGCAAACAGATCCTCAGTGCCTCGTCTTCAGGTAGGGGCGCGGCAGACCCTCCCCCCCTCGCCAAACCCGCCTGGGCTGGACCATCCCCCACCTTCCTCGAAGGCCACCTGTGGTGATCACACAGTCCCCCTTGCTTGCAGGCAAGCTGTTCTGCCTGTATTCAGAAGAGTTCGCCGCCAGAGACATGCTGCCCCTGAAGCCGGCCGAGATGCAGGAGGCCAACCTCACCAGCCTGGTGCTGTTCATGAAGCGGGTGGACATCGCCGGCCTCGGCCACTGCGACTTCATGAATAGGCCAGGTATGGGCCCGAGCCAGGCAGCGGCGGCCCCGCGTGGTCTGTGGCAACAACCTCCAGGGTGTGGGCCGTGGGCTGGGCCAGGGGCCATGCATGTGGAGGGGACCTTCCTCGGAGTCACCTGGCCAGGTGATGGTCTCCGGCTCCCCTTTCTGCCTGTGGACTTGCACCCTGGGGCAAGTAGGGGGCAGCCTCCTGGGCGCGCTGCAAGGCCATCCGAGTCCTCACTCCCACCCCAGGGCCGGGCGGGGGGCGGGGGGCTGCTGTGGCCTGTGCTTCCCTGCTCCACGCCCTCAGCGTCTCAAGCAGATGGGCGGGCAGGATTCAGCGGGCAGTGCTCATGCTCCCCTGGCAAGCAGAGGTGTCACCGCTCAGCTGGGGGCACTGACTGGGCTGTGTCCGGGACCCCCTGGCGCGTAGATGCATCTCCCTCCCCCGCCCCCGTGGCCGTGGACCCCGTGGGATGGAGCGAGCAGCCCCCTCGGTGTGTCCATCTTGCCCTCTGCATTCCCACTGCCCTCCCGGACTTGCGTCCGCTGTGACCCCGTTTCGCTCCCTCCTGGGACCTCAGGTCGGCTCTCTGCGGGGCAGACTCCCTGGCAGAGGACCTCGGCGACGGCCGTGGAGGGCGTCTCCTCGTGGCAGCCTGTAGCGCCCCCTGCCCTCCAGCGTGCCCCGGGCTCCCAGCCCCCGTGACTGCCCGTCCCCTTCTCCGGGTTGCTGGGTGCTCGGGTGGGGTGAAAGACGGGAAGTGGAGCAAACGGCTGGGGCCGGCACAGGCCGCTGCCCCTCGGTGCTCGCCGGGCGCCATCCGACACAGGCCGCAGGCTGCCATTCTCAGACTGTGGCCATGGGCGGAGCAGGGCACCAGTACCGCTGCTGCTGGAGCCTGGTGTCGGGAGTGTGGGCACGGGCGTGGCCCTGGTGTCTGTGTGACAGGGCTGTGTCCCGGCCGGGCCTGTTGAACCTTGTGACCTCGCTGGCAAGCGGGCTGGTGGTTCTGGGCGTCTCTTCCCTGGCCGGAGCCAGACAGAAGGTTCTAGGCTGCCCCGTGTGTCTTCAGAAGGGGCGGCCGGCTGGCTCTGGCTCATCTGTGCTTCTGTGGGTTTGGCCAGGAGAGTGGCACCAGCTGAGCCGCAGGCAGCCCTGGGCAGGGGCTGTGCCCACACCCGTGAACACGCATGGCCCTTCTCGTGGGATCCGTGATCCCCTTTTCCTCGGTCTGAGGGTGCCGAAGTCTCCCTGGGGGAGGGGCAGAGACCCTTCTGGGGAGTGCTGAGGAGTGAGCTTTGTCGGCACCTCTCGGGGTGGCGGGTCCCCTGCCCGGGCGCCCCTGAGCCCCACGCTCCCCCGCCCAGCCCCCGAGAGCCTGATGCAGGCGCTGGAGGACCTGGACTACCTGGCCGCGCTGGACAACGACGGCAACCTGTCCGAGTTCGGCATCATCATGTCCGAGTTCCCGCTCGACCCGCAGCTCTCCAAGTCCATCCTGGCGTCCTGCGAGTTCGACTGCGTGGACGAGATGCTGACCATCGCCGCCATGGTGACAGGTGGGGCGCGGCGCGGCCCGGAACCCCGACCCCCACCCACCCCCAGACGCACAGCCGGAAACAAGGCTCTGAGTGATGAACTGTCCACTGAGAAGGAAAATGTTCTTGGAGAGGAGAGCTGGGGCCGGGGCCACGGCACAGGGGGAGGGTGCAGGCGAGACCCCTCGCGCTCCCCGCACCCCATGTGGTCTCCTGAGCAGTCGGGGATGAGTCCCGAGTACCACCGGGTGTGGCCCAGGAACAAAACAGAACCCCCCTCCCACGCAGGAGCCCTGGGGGTGGGGGGGGCGCAGTTCACCCCTTTGGCGGGGCCCCCCCCGCGGGGGTCTGTGCTCCGGACCCTGCTGCCCCGAGAGGCTGCCACGGCCCCTCGTGCTGACCTGGGGCCTCGTGTGTCCAGCCCCGCCGTGCTTCTCATATCTGCCACCGGAGTCCGAGGCGGGGGCCCCGCCGCGCTGGAAGATGTTCCTGCACCCGGACGGGGACCACTTCACCCTCATCAACATCTACAAGGCCTACCAGGACACGGCCCAGAGCTCCGCCAGCGAGCGTGAGTGCTCCCTCCTCCCGCTCCCCCAGCCCGCCAGACAGCCTTCGTGAGAGCAGAGCCCGTGGGACCCCCCACGCCCACACGCCTGGGCCCCTACACAGGCCCTGGTGGACCTTCCCCGGGGTTCCGTGACGCGACGACAGGAACGCCCGTGAGCCGGAGCCAGGCCTCGGCGCCCTGAACGCGGGGCTGGCCGGAGGGTGGTCGGTGCTCCCGCCGTCCGGCTGCTGGCCAGCACGGCCGTGGCGGGCACCCCCGGGCCAGGCCGCGCCCCCGCCCCGCCTTCCCGTGCCTCTGTGCTTCCTTGCAGACTGCGTGGAGACGTGGTGTCACGACCACTTCCTCAGCAGCTCGGCGCTCAGGATGGCCGAGGTCATCCGCGCGGAGCTCGTGGAGATCATCAAGCGCATCGAGTTGCCCTACGCCGCGCCCGCCTTCGGCTCGCCGGAGAACACCCTGAACCTCAAGAAGGCGCTGGTGTCCGGCTTCTTCATGCAGGTGTGTGCCCGCCCACACAGCCCCAGAGGCCCACTGCCCGGGACGGGCCACTCCCGACGTCCTGCGGGCCTCGGGCTCGGCCTTGCCCCGGGCGGCCCCTCCAGAGTAAACCCGAACCCAGAACTGCCCATGGGGACCTGAGAGGGTCGTGAGCAGAGTCGGGCCTGGCAGGAGTTTCCTCCCCGTGCCTGGCCTGGCTGTTGGCAGAGCCACGCCGAGGGCCGGAGAACTCCGCTGGTGGCCTTCCCAGCCTGAAACCGGGAGGCGTGGCTGGCCCCTGGGTTAGCCCTTCTTCCTGAGAGCCCCACTCTCCGCTCGGTACCCACCCCGTCTTCCGACCACACTCGCCACCGCCCGCAGATCGCGCGGGACGTGGACGGCTCGGGCAACTACCTGATGCTGACGCAGAAGCAGGTGGCCCAGCTGCACCCGCTGTCGGGCTACGCGGTCACCAAGAAGATGCCCGAGTGGGTCCTCTTCCACAAGTTCAGCATCTCCGACAACAACTACATCCAGGTCACCTCAGAGATCTCCCCAGAACTGTAAGCTGGGCAGAGAAACCCACTCCTCTTGTTTCCTTGGGTGGGGGGTCACAGCCGGCGATGCTCAGGAATTACTTGGTGGTGCTCGGGAGTCGGGGGAGGGGAACGAACGGGATACCAGGGATCGAAAGGAGCAAAGCAAGCGCCCGCTCACCGCTGTACCATGGGCCCTGGCGCCGAAACCCCCCATTCCTCTGGGATTCCTACTAGAGGCCGACGTAAATGAACAGACAAAAAGGTGAAGCCAGACCTTCCGACTGCAACCAACACGGGTGGGCGGGGCGATGGGCTGGCCCGGGGGGTCTCCAGGTGCTGGCGAGGCAGGAGGGAGCCAAGCCCCAGCAGGCGAGGGGAAGGAAGGCCGCAGGGCCAGTGGGCGCTGCCTGTGCCTGACCAAGCGGAAGCCGGGGAAAGGGCAGCGACACCCCCGGGGGCAAGTTCTGTGCCGAGTGGGAAGCAGGGGGCTCCTTGGCCACATGAGAGCAGGACGGCGGCCAGCACACATGCCGGGTGCGGCCACTACCCTGGGGCCACTCACAGGGACCTGCAGGGCAGCTACCGACAAGCCCGTCTGGCAGCAGGCGCCTTCCACGGGGGCCTGACCCGGCTGCCACCGCTGTCCCACACAGAGCCCTGAAGGCCAATCACAGACTGCCTGGGAATGGAACTCGGGTTCGAGCAGATTCCATAGGGCGGGGACGGGCCCAGGCGTGTGACGGCAAACCTCATTCTGTTTCTAACAGGTTCATACAGCTGGCGCCTCAGTACTACTTTAGTAACCTACCTCCGAGCGAAAGCAAGGACATCCTCCAGCAAGTCATGGACCACACGTCCCCGACGGCCGCGGGGAGGAAGGAGCCGAGCGTGTGCGAGCCCGGCCCGGACACCCCCGAGCAGAGGTGCACGGTCCAGTGACCAGCCCTCCTGCCGACGCCGGGGCCCGCCCGGGACAGTCCCAGAAAACTAACTTTGTATAGTATTTAAAAATAAAAATAGACTTTTTATTGTGTTCTTTAAGTTAGTACGTGGTTGTTTTTTTTTTTTTTTCTCCTCGGAAGATCCTGACCAAACACGATTTGGCCAAGAGGGAAAAGCGGGTTTTCTAAACGTGTCACAGGCACGGGGGAGGACCCGCCCTCCTCTGCAGAGGGGACCCCTGACCTGAAAGTCCCGTGCTGTCAGGACGTGGCCCAGTCTCTGGTCCCCAGCGGTCTCGGGCGCCGGGTCACACGGCCAGGTGCTCCTGCAGCATGCCCATGACCTCCCCCATCCTGTCGCTCGGCAACACCATCACGGTCCGCAGGGGCTTCAGTGGCGCGTCGCCAAAGGCCCACGAACCTCCCAAACACGTGTCGCCGTCTTGCACCGGGAAGCTGAACTTCAGGAGCGCCTTCTGCAGCCAACACACGACACAGGTTACCGGAATCGCAGCAGGCACGACCGAGGGACGTCCACGCTGCCGCCGCCGCCACGCCCTCTGCAACCTCACTGAGCCCCACAGCACGAGACATTCCCAGCCACCGTTGGTCTCGGCCCCCGGTTTCCAAACTGGCTTACAAGTGTTCCTAGAAGGGCTGAAGCAGCGCTACAGGGGGGAGGTGCCGGCCTTGACGCAGCCCACAGGGTGCCCTGAATGCTGCCATGAGTCACCCCTGGGCTCAGCCTGAGCACAGCCAGACGGGGCTCCAAGACCTAACCAAAAAAGGGCTTTTTGAGGACAGGAAGATACGCATCAATCGGGCCGGGTTAGAAGCCACTCGTTGGCTTTCCTCAAAGCGGTCTCAGAGTGCGGGAACATCGACACTGACATTTAACGCCCGCTCTCTCCTTCCTGGAATCAAGGGCGAATTCCGTCTTCAGGGTCGGGTCTGAAATCCTCTGTGGAGCGTGGCCCCGCCTCCCGCCAACGCTGCGTTCCCCCGCGGACAGCCCCCAAACTCCCTCAGCTGACAGCCCCCCCCCATCTCCTTCATCGTCGGGAGCGGGAAATGGCACGAGCCACTCTCCTTGGGAGAATGCTGGCAACCCCACGACACCAAGGGGCCCAGGAGGCCGCAACGGGGAGCAGGGCCACAGACGGGCTCGGGGTCCCCAACCGTGACGGGGTGACGTACGCCCCTCAGTGGCCCGGCCAGACCTGCTGGGCGGGAGGACAGCGCAGGACGCAGGACACGCACCTCATAGAAAAACTCTTCCTCGGCGTTGGCGAACCGGAGCTCCTCCTTGCCTGGGCCTCTCGGCCTCTGCCCCGCGCCATCCTTCCCGGCCTCCACAAACGTCTTGCTGATGAGGAGGTAGAAGTGGCACTTCCCGCACGGCTTGTTAGTTCTCTGCGCCTCTGCGAGCTCTTTCCTGCAAGGCAAACGCCCGGTCGGCTGCGGGCCAGGCAACACCCAGTGCCCAACACAGCCCAGAGACCGGCCAGGACCCAGCAGGCTCTGCGTGGACGGACGCGACATCTGGGAAGCGACGCGCTTCCCTGAGGTGGTCAGAGCGCTCTGAACTGGCACGGCAGCATTTGGAACGGGCAGGAGAGCCATGTTATGCCGAGCCGTGGCCACGCACAACTCAGCCGGGGGCGGGTTCAGCCACACCACTGGTCTGCCTGCAGAGCACCGGAGGGAGCACGCGCTATGGGAGCACCACCGGAGGGGGCATGGGCTGTGGGAGCACCACTGGAGGCCGTGGGAGCACCACTGGAGCACGGGCTGTGGGAGCACCACCGGAGGGGGCACGGACTGTGGGAGCATGCGCTGCGGGAGCACTGTTGGAGGGAGCATGGGCCGCAGGCAAGGGTCTGCCCCTGCAGCTACAAGGTTCCCCAAGCCCCACTAGGTACCCCCCAACCGCAGGAACAAGCCAACCCCCCAACTCCAGACCATCACTGAACAAAGGCACCAGCTTTACCACGTGCCCTGGGAGCACAGGAGTCACGGAGGCCGGCAGAGGCCCGAGACCTCGCCAAGCTCGCCCCAACTCCCCCCGGGGGAAGCCAGCGGCTCAGCACCCCGAGCCCCCGCCTGCCTTCCTAGAGGGTCCCACCCCGTGGAGACAAGTGAAGGCCGCCAGCCAGCCCCAGGCCCTGCCACGTAGGAAGGAGACAAAGGACGTTCCCTGAGGGAACCAGGGCCGGTCTGCTGACCAGAGCTGACCCAGGACACCCGAGCCCCCGGGCCACTCAGCAGAGCCCGAAGAGAGAACCGAAGCCGGGCCCCACCCGGGCAAAGACCCGGCTGAGCCGCCCAGGGCTGAGGGAGCGTGGCTCAGAGTCCGTCCAGCCCGCCTGGTTACAGACAGAGGCCGGCCCTGACTGGCAGGGAGGGGACAGCTGGGCCCGAGAGGCAGCTCGGGATGTCTGCTGCGGCGGTCTAGGGCGCGTCCTCTCAGGAGCACCGCCGCAGAGGGCACGGGCCGCGGGAGCACCGCCAGAGGGGGCATGGGCTGCAGGAGCACCGCCAGAGGGGGTACGGGCTCTGGGAGCACTTGCTGGAGGGAGCACGGGCCGCGGGAGCTCCTGAGACCTGTGCCCCTCCCTTCGGGTCTCTGCCGCGGCGGTCCAGGGCGCGTCCTCCCCTCCCGCCCGCGCCCGCCAGGCCCTTACTGCAGCTGCTGGTGCAGGGGCAGGGCCACCTGGGGCGGCACGTTCAGGAAGCGCTCGCTCAGCAGGAGGCCCACGGGCCTGGCCGGGTCGCGGAGGAGCCGCTCCAGCTGCTGGGCTGTGCTCTTCTCGCTGTGCTGCCGGCAGGCCGCGAGCAGCAGCTCCTTGATCTGCTCGGCGCACTGGGTGTCCTGCGGGCAGAGACGCGCCTTTACCCCTGCAGGGGGCGCTGGTCACCGCGCCCGCCCCGTGCCCGCCTGCCTGGTGGTGCCTGAGCACCGCAGGGCAGCGGGGCCCGCCCGTGCCCTCGGCAGAACGCACTGGCTCCTTCGACACCCACAGGGCGAGCGCGCTGACCCATCTGGCGTCCACGTTTGGTCAGACGCGTGAGCCGGCAGTCAGGACTGTCTCCGACTGACACCAGCCTGGAGGGCCACGCTCGGGCCTCCCGCAGGGCACACGCCCCTCGCTGCCCTCCCCGGGCCAGCTCTGCTCCACCTTCTCCCACCTGGGACCCATTTGTGTCCAAGCCAGGTGGACTCACAGACCTAAAAAGGACAGCTAGACGCAGGGAACGTTTACTGAGAAGAAAGCACAATTTTAGGGGCCGGAGCGATGGCAAAGCAGGGAGGGTGTTTGCCTTGCACGTGGCTGACCCAGGTTCGATTCCCAGCATCCCACAGGGTCCCCTGAACACCGCCAGGGCTAATCCCCGAGTGCAGAGCCAGGAGTAACCCCTGTGCATCGCCGGGTAGGACCCCAAAATCACTGTCACTGCACTGTCCTCCCGTTGTTCATCGATTTGCTCAAGCGGGCCCAGTAACATCTCCATTGTGAGACTTGTTGTTACTGCGTCTGGCATATCGAATACGCCACGGGTATCTTGCTAGGCTTTGCTGTGTGGGTGAGATACTCTCGGTAGCTTGCCGGGCTCTACGACCCAAAAATCAAAAACAAACAAACAAAAAAACACAATTTTAAAAGCAAGTTGTGCAGCCAGGCCTGCGTCCAGCCCAAACACTTCCCGCTGAACAGGTGGGCAGGAAGATTTCACACTGACGCATTCCCTAGGGCGAGGGGCCGTCTGCCAGAAGTTCACTGCCAAGGGGGCTCCGGCCTAAGGCGTCGCTCGGGCCACTGACCTTCCTTTCAGTTAGGTTGAACAAACTGATGAAACCGAAGATCTCCTCTTCGTCCTCTTCCCCGTCGCTGTCCTCCGAGACCTCTGTCTGCTGCATGAGAAGGGAACGCTTTGGTTCACTCGGGAGAAGACTGCGGCCAGCGGCGGGCAGGGGAGCCGGGCAGGGCCAGGGCAGCGGCGCCTACCTTGATGACGCTGCCGACGTGGTTCTGTTGGATCAGGAGCTCGGTGAGCTGGGCCGTGTTCACGGGGGCCTTGAGGAACAGCTACGGAGAGAAACACAGTTCACGTGTGATCACGGTCGCCGCACCTGCAGGATCCTCGACGCCCGGGTCAGGGGCACGTCACGACAGGCCAACGGCGAGACCAGGAGTTTTAGGAAGTAACCCCAACGCTGCTGGGGCGGCAGGACAGAGAGCAGGGCAACTGTCTCGCACACGGCCAAATAGGTTCTATCCCTGGGACCCCACAGCGTCCCCCGAGCGCCACCAGGGGTGACCTGAGTGCAGAGCAGGGGTCAGCCACGAGCATCGTCAGGTGTAACCCAAAAGGTGATCCAAAGAAGAAAGGGACGTTCAGGAGAACTAAAGGCAGCGGTGACACAGAACTATGGGGGGCGGGGGGACCCCCTCCAGGCCAAACACAGGCGGCGCAACCAGAGGAGATGCAGGTCAGGGAGCCCAGCCTGGCATCGGGCAGAGGCACGAGGAAGTGCAGCCGAGTCAAGGGTGTGCCCTGAGGAGTCTCCCACCCAGGGCTGCTGGAACTGGCGGACATCAGAGACTGACAAAAGAGAACTGAGAAGAGCTGCAACAAAGGGTCCTCTCTACACCTCAAAGGGGAGATGAGGGGAGCAGAGGGGAGGCACTGTGTGTCAGGAGATGGTAGCTAGGAGACTGCGGCATCTAAGGAAGGGGCCCCACAGAAGGCCTCGGCCCTAGGACAGAAGGGGATTCTTCCCGCCAAGGCAAAGCTCCAGGAAAGAGCATCCTGACAGGCCAGACACGGGCAGGGTGGGGCTCAAGGGTCTGGGCAGCAGGGGCTGGAGCGACAACACAGCGGGGAGGGCGTTTGCCTTGCACGCGGCTGACCTGAGTTGATTCCCAGCATCCCATAGGGTCCCCCGAGCTCCGCCAGGAGGAATTCCTGAGCGCAGAGCCAGGAGGAACACCTAGGCATCGTCAGGTATGACTCAAAAAGCAAAAAAAAAAAAAAGAAAGAAAGAAAAAGAATTCTCTCCTCTTCAATGATCTGGGCTGTCTCAGAAGAGACCTGCAGGGTCTGGGAGGGGTCAGTGGCCAGTATCAGTCCCATCTGCATGAGGCCCAAGCCCGACACCATCCCCGGTGCTCCCCAACCAGGCGTGCCGGCCCCTCCGGGAGCGAGTGGCCACCGGCACCCCAAGATAGGCGCTACCTGCTGCAGTAACTTCTTAATTCCGTCATAATCGATATCCGAGATGGCGAAAGCTTCGAAGTCAACATTCACTTCCTGCGAGTGACGGGAGAGCAGAACCATCAGACAACGCAGGCCGCGTTCGCATTCACAGCCCCCGACCCCCACGACCCGAGCCCGTCAAGGCAGCAGCGGAACTGGAAAGAGGCGCCCACAAACTCTCTGTTCGAAGCGTCCAACAGGCCACAGCGGCCGTCTACGCGGACAGAGGCCGCCAGGACGGCCCAGAGGGGCAGAGCCCCTGCATCTCCTGGGGGGGGAGGGAGGGGGACAGGGCGGGGACGGGCCGTGCCCCTGCAGGAGGGGCGCCATGTGGGCACACCAGGGCACACCAGGGATGAGGCTTCAGACCCAGGCTGGGGGTTGGGCACGAGCGTTGGCACGTACAGGAACGGGCAGGACCAGGGGCTGGCCAGGAGTCCCGGTAACGACAAGCTGTCTCCTCGGGGTCCCAAGTATCAGGGTCCCGGAAAGGGGGGGTCACTCGGCATGCACTAAAGTCCCCCCTCATTGGGGCTGGAGCGATAGCACAGCGGGTAGGGCGCTTGCCTTGCACGTGGCCGACCCGGGGTTCGATTCCCAGCGTCCCATATGGTCCCCTGAGCACTGCCAGGGGTAATTCCTGATTGCATGAGCCAGGAGGAACCTCTGTGCATCGCCGGGTGTGACCCAAAAAGCCAAAAATAGTAATAATAATAATAATAATAATAATAATAATAAAGTCGCCCTCATGCCAGGCAGGGGGATTTTCTCCCAAGACCCCCCCCCTTCCAGGAGCACCTCACTGGGAACCCCTCGCGCACGAGGGGACGGGGCGGCGGAACGAACAGCGGGGCCGGGGTCAGCACCCCGGGGACACCGGGTGAGTCCAGAGGTGACCCCACCCCCCACCCCGCCTAGGGGTGCAGCTTTGCAGCTCGCGGGGGTCCCCGAGACAGGGGAAGCCCCTTGGAGGGGCGGGGCCGACCCGGGAGCGGAGCCCGGGGGGACACAGGCCGGGGACACGCGCTGCAGGCGCGGGACCAAGCCCGAAGCAACAGGAACGGGCGGCGTGGGCGGCGCGTGGGCGGCGCGTGTCCGGCGCGTGTCCGGCACGGGGGCCCCACCTCGCCCACGGCCTCGTCGTCCTCCTCGCCGCTGTCGTCCTCCGGGTCGCTGTCGTCCTCGTCCTCGTCCTCCTCGTCGTCCTCCTCCGCCTCGGCGTCGTCCTCCAGCTCGTCGTCGCGGCGCGGGGCCGGAGCGCCGGGCGTGCGCGGAGCCTCCTCGCCCAGCGCGCGCCGCTTGGGCCTGGACGCCATGTTGCCGCCGCCACTGCGCCTGCGCGGCCGCCGCGGCCGGACTTCCGGGACCGCCGACTTCCGGGATCGCCCAAGCGGCGGCGGAGGGGGGAAACGGAGGCCGCGAGGGGACATCACGCTGGGCCTGCGACCACCCCAGCACCCCTGGCCGCTCTGGAAACCCCGGGAACTCCCCTCTACGTCTTCATAGGATCCCTAAATCGCCTTAATTTTCTCCCGCCGTTCCTAACGTCACTCTCCCGGGCTCACAACCCCCCTTCGCGTAGTGGTTCGGCCCTTCTCGGCCCGCGTGCTCAGGGCGCTACGCATGCGCCAACTCCGTGACCCCCCCCGCCCCCTCCGCCCGCGGAGGCTCGGCGATCCCTGCGCGGCGTGCGCCGTCGTCATGGCAACCCGAGCCACGTGACGCGAGGCCGGCCTCTCTTCCGCCTCCTAGCGGGGACCCGGAGAGTCGGCCCGGGCCTGCCCCGGGTCGTGCCCCGCCAGGTAGGTGTCACCCTCGGCGCGGGGTCGGGGGCGGGGGGTCCCACCTGGGCGCGGGCCGGAGCCGACCCCAGAGCCGCGCTGGCCCTCGCCCTGCGCCCTTTGCAAGAGCAGGAGCCCGTCGCGGGTGGGCGCGGGGCAGCAGCGCCCCGGGTCCGCACTGACCGCCGGGCGGGCCTGCAGGCCCCGAGCGCGGGTTCTGGGCCGCGGGCTCGGCCGTGGCGTGGGTTGGCCGTGGCGTGGGGCCCCTCGCTGCCCCGAGCTCCCCCGCCAGCCCCAGGCCCTGTCCCCAGCCGCCGCCCCCACCCCTCGCGCGTCCCTCTGGGTCCGGCCGACGGGGGACGGGGAGGGGCGGATGTGGGCGCCGCCCACGTGACAGCCCGGGGCGCAGCTCGAGTTGGGGGTCCCGGCAGACAGACCCCCCCATCCTGGCCCCCGTGGCCCCGACAGGCCTGTGCGTGGTGGTCCCCGGAGCCTCAGTGCCCCCCCCCCCACGCCCCCAACACACACCCCTCGGGCTCCCCGGACCCCAGCCCGGAGCCTGGGCTCTCCGTTGCACCACGTGACACAGCACTGCCCACTGACCCACTGCCCCCAGCGGAGTTTTCTGATCACACCCTGCCCCCCCCCCCCCCCAGGAGCTTCCAGAGAGCTAGCCCTGAGCCAGATGACCCTCCCGTCCACGGCCACACTGTGGTCACTGCCCACTGACGGTCACTCGTATTAGCACGACTGACGCTCCATTCATCTACGCGTGTCTGTGTGTGTCTCCACGTGTCTCTACGTGTCTCCGTGTGTCTCTGTATGTCCGCATGTATCAATCGAGGTGTGTCTGCGCGTGTCCCTTTCCCGTGCCAGGCTGACAGCCCCTCTCACACAGCAGCTTGTTCCCTGGCTCCTTGGCCTGGCGCTGCCGCCTTTGGGAAGGCTGCACTTGCAAAGCCTCTTCAACAGGGAAGGAATTTTACATCTGTCCCTTTTTTTTAAAAAAAGAGAAACTATGATATATCAAGAGGCCAGAGGGTTATGACAGCAGGCAGGGGGCCCGCCTGGTACACGGCCGACCCGGCATCCCATGTGGTCCCCTTAGCACCACCAGGAGTGATCCCTGAGCACAGAGCCAGGAAGAAGCCCTGAGCATCGCTGGGTGTGACCCCCAAACAAACAGAAAGGTAGAGAATAAAGTTATCACTGTGACCTACAGACCTGCCACCATGTAATCCCCGCTAGAGCAAACGTGTGTGAGCGTGTGTGCAATCTGCAAATCTGTCCTTTAGGCATTATGCATATGTATAATACACATATATATATTTTCTTTTTGGGTCACACCCGGCAACACTCGGGTTACTCCTGGCTCTGCACTCAGAGCTACTCCTGGCGGAGCTCAGGGGACGATATGGGATGCCGGGAATCGAACCCGGGTCGGCCGCATGCAAAGCAAACACCCTACCCGCTGTGCTTTCGCCCCAGCCCCAGTCCTTTAAACATTTTTAACACCTTATGACTCACTGTGTAAAAAACTTCCTTGCGAGTACTTTCACAATTGTGTGGTTTGATGCACCCATTCCCTTTGCTGGACATTTTCAATTTCCCGGGAGTTGCAGTTCTTAAGACTCGGGGATACAGTTGCAGCTTGTAGCTGATCCATCCTGGAGATCTGATGTGTGGCCTCCTCATCTCTGCCCCTCATTTCACTCTTGTCCAGTGAGGAGAGAGAAGTTCCGGTCAGCGGTGCTGGGATGGATAAATGTACGGAGTGTGCCGAGTGCCCCCGGGGATGCTTCTGCCAGGCAGGGCAGCCGCAGCAGGGACTGGTCGAGGCCCTGTGAGGGTCATTGGCACCTGGAGTGGCTCTTAAAGGTGCAGTCACAGGAGAAAAGGGGAAGGCGCCGAGGGGCTCCCTGGTGGACCCCCTGAGGCTGCTCCTTCCTCCTCTGCTGCAACTGGGACCTGTTGAGCCCCCCCGGGAGCCGGGCGTGCGTGGCCAGGATGGGGGGCACTGGGCTCGCTTGTGTTATCTGGCGTCCACATGCGGCCCCCTGGTCTTATCAGCAGGCCCAAGTGGCGGCGCCCAGGGCAGTGGCTGTCCCGCCCCGCCGAGCCACTGAGGCCCGTCTCCCACTGAGCCCGTCTCCCGCCAGCAGTCATGAAGGTTCTCCTCCTGAAGGACCCCAAGGAGGACGAGTGTGGGCAGGACCCCTACATCAGGGTAGGAGCCTGGCGCCAGCGACCTTGGGAGCCGGGGAGCGGGGAGGTGTGGGGCGCCCTTGCCTGTCCTCGGGGGCCCCCCCTACCCCGGGATGCCTTTCCTTTCCGGGCAGGAGCTGGGACTGTGCGGACTGGACGCCACGCTGATCCCCGTTTTGTCCTTCGAGTTCCTGTCTCTCGCCAGCTTCGCGGAGAAGGTCAGTTCCGAGCACTGTGACTTCTGGGCGAGACGTGTGCTTCTCTAGAATTCCTGCCCAGCCCGGCCAGACCAGCCCCAGACCACCACCCCCTTTTGGCTTCCAACCAGGGGCCGAGGGCAGCACGGTCTCCGGGCGTGCTGGGGGGTGTGGGCGTCTCTGCAGAGCCTCGGGGTCATTGGAGGGGTCCCTAATGTTTGCCCGTCATTTCACCCAGCCCCTGGTAACGTCCTGCACTCAGAGATTGGTTCCCTGCATGGGCGTGGACACACAGCGGATCTGGGGTGCTCATCCCAATCCCAGAGGACAGCCCCGTGCAGTCCTGTGGGCACCCCAGGTCCCTGCCGGCACCCACCAAACACCCAGTTCTTATCTTGCTTGTGGAGTCTTGGGAATCTCTTTGGGGGCAGTCATGGCCCCAGGAACATTCCGGTTTTGTTTTTGTTTGGGGCCACACCTGGCAGTGCCAGGGCTGACTCCTGGCTCTGTGCTCAGGGATTCCGCTGGTGGGTTCCGTCTGGTATGCCAAGGATCGAACCAACCGGGGTCAGCCGCGATCAGGGCCGGCGTCTTTCCTCGGTGCTATGTCGCCAGCCCCAGCACTTCCGTTTAATTTTGGGTGCACTCTGCCGCATCCCCCTGCACGGTGCTTGCCTGTCCCCGGGACACAGGCAGCCAGGTGTCAGGGAAGGACCGCGATGCGGGACTTCCCGACCCCCCGAGAGCGCTCGGCGAGCATCCCGCGGCGGGAGGCGGGCGGTGGCTCTGCGGTCTTGCGCCCTCGCCCTTGGGGCTCTGCGAACTGTCCAGCTCACGTCTGTGCTCCTCTTGCGGTGGGCCCAGCTGGCCCGTCCCGACAGCTACGGGGGCCTCATCTTCACCAGCCCCAGAGCGGTGCAGGCGGCCGAGCTGTGTCTGGAGAAAAGCAGCCAAACTGAAGGTGAGGATGCGCCGGGCTTCGCTCCTGTGGGTGCCGCGGGCAGGGGAGCCCCAGGAGAGCTGCTCGGGCAAGAGCCACGGCCACGGCTCAGAGTCAAGGTCAGGGGGAGGTGCAGAGTCACCGCCTGGGGTACAGCCTTTTTGGGGAACAGAAGGCAACAAGCCGCCTTGTCGACGGCTGCTTTATTTATTTATTTTTATTTATTTTTTGCTTTTTGAGTTACACCCGGCGATGCACAGGAGTTACTCCTGGTTGATGCACTCAGGAATCACTCCTGGCGGTGCTCAGGGGACCATATGGGATGCTGAGAATCGAACCCAGGTCAGCTGCGTGCAAGGCAAACGCCCTCCCTGCTGTGCTCTCGCTCTAGCCCCAATGGCTGCTTTTTTTTTTTTTTAAAGAAAATCATTTTTATTTGGTTTTATTTAGGGTCACACCCAGCTGTGCTTGGGGCTTACTCCTGGCTCTGCATCGGGTAGGACTCAGGGAGGCCACATGGGGTGTTGCTGGCGGGTTCAGGAAAACCATATCAGGTGCCAGGGCTCGATCCCGGGTGAGCCCTGTGTGAGGCCAGCGCCCCACCCGCTGTCTAATCTCCCTGGCTCCCTTTGGTGACGGCCGCTCCAGCCGAGGTCTCTGCCCTCAGTTCCTGGCACCTTGGGTGGTGGCAGTGGCGATGGTGGCCGCCGCTCCCCCGCACAGAGGCCTTGTAGCCAGGGGAGGAAGGCGTGGCCCACAGGAGGGCGCCCGGGGCTGCCAGCCTGGCGCCAGGAACCCGTGCCTGTGTCTCCAACCTGTGGTGCTGTGGAGGTGGAGAGGAACCCAGGACGGACACACCGCCCTTCACATTGGGGGCTGCAGAGGGATCGTGGGCGGCTTTCGTACATCTTTCTTGTGTGTTCTTCTTCCTCTGAGCCACACGGCAGTTCTGTGGCCAAGGCCAGGGACAGGGTTCAGTCCAGCTCTCCGTGAGCTGCCTGTCACTGCTCTGGGAGACACAGGCCCTGGCCAGAGCATCGTGGCCAGAGTGTGTTCCCCTGTGTGTCATCAGCGACCTGTGCTCTTGTGCTGCCCTTGGTGGCTGAGAAATAACTGTTACTCAGGTATGTCAGAGGTGCGAGTTCACCTGTGACTGCTTCCCAGGGGCTTTCTCACAGCGCTTAGAGAAGTACCGTGGAATTACGCAGGGCTGTGTCCATAACTGCATTTTTCCCTCTTTTTTTTCCATTTTTTGGGTCACTCCTGGCTCTGCACTCAGGAATTACTCCTGGCGGTGCTCGGGGACCATATGGGATGCTGGGAATCGAACCTGGGTCGGCCGCGTGCAAGGCAAACGCCCTCCCCGCTGTGCTGTCACTCCAGCACCCATAACTGCATTTTAGAAAGATAAGAGTGTGTGTTTGCTTTTCTAAAAAAGGGATTGGATATTTATGCAATCTATTTCTCTTTTATAAAGATTTTTGTCATAAAGTGACAGTGTTCTCATTAAACTGTGCTTGCTTATGACCTTGAAACTTACTTTCTCTGTTTTGATTTAATAAATAAGTGAGCCATTTCATCTGATATTACAATTTTTGGCTACTTTCAGATTTATGTCCAAGTAAAGCCAATTCTGTAGTTTTTTTGGGATTTAACTAGCCTCTACTTAATGCCCAGTCACTTTCTTTTGAAATCTAGATGTAAACATTTTAGTATCAGCACGCAAATTAAGATTCCGGTCATGTTTATTTTCTAGTACACATTTTTAAAAAAGAGCTCCAAGTGCCAACTAGAATTGCCTAATATTTTAAGCAAGGCGTGCTGGAACACTGCCCAGAGTGATTTGTTTTTAATTTGCAGAACCTGAACAGTATAAAAATGGGATTTCATCTTGCAGTATCCGTGTTCCTTGGGTTAATCAGTGTCCACCTTGCGAGCCAGTTTTCTGGGAAGAACGAGGCGCCTCGAGCCGCTGTCCAGGCGGTCAGTTTAGGTTTTGCGATCCACGTTTGGTTTGGTGTCTTGCAGTCTGGAAGGAGACTCTGAAGGAGCAGTGGAACGCCAAGCCGGTGTACGTGGTCGGGGAAGCCACAGCGTCTCTCGGTAAGCGGCCGAGGTCCAAGCAAAGCCCCCCGCGAGCAGGGGGGTCTCGGTCAGACGCGGCTGCTCGGGCCTTTCCTGCGGGGAGAGAGAGACACTCGGGTGTGGTGCCCGTGTCTGCCGGAACGTGGCTCGCGGAGAGCCGCTGCTGTGGGCACAGCCAGGAATTGAGAGGCCTGAGGGTCACAGCCCCATGATGCCGCCGGCCCACGCCCCCTCAGGCCACCCCACGGGTCTCCGGCATGTCACCTTTAAGCTGTTCGCAGGCACAGTCCCGCAGGAAGGGGCCTGGGCTCGGACCCCAGTGCCACCACAGGGGAGAGCGTGGTGTCTGCGTGTCGTGTCGTGTTTGCGTGTCATGTCATGTCTGCGTGTCGTGTCTGTGTTCTGTCTGCATGTCGTGTCGTGTCTGCGTGTCGTGTCTGTGTTATGTCTGCATGTCGTGTCTGTGTTATGTCATGTATGCGTGTCATGTCATGTCTGTGTGTCATATCATGTCTGCATGTCATGTCTGCGTGTTGTCTGTGGGTGTCTGCATGTGGTGTCATGTCTGCATGTCGTGCCTGCGTGTTGTGTCATGTCTGTGTGGTGTCTGTGTGTGGTGTCTGCATGTTGTTTCACGTCTGCGTGTTGTCATGTCTGCGTGTTGTGTCATGTCTGCGTGTTGTGTCTGTGTGTTGTGTCCTGTCTGCGTGTCGTGTCATGTCTACTTGTTGTGTCTGTGTGTTGTCATGTATGCATGTCGTCATGTCTGCGTGTTGTGTCATGTCTGCGTGTTGTGTCTTGTCTGTATGGTATCTGCGTGCGGTGTCATGTCTGCATGTCATGCCTGCGTGTTGTGTCATGTCTGTGTGGTGTCTGCATGTCGTGTCTGCTGTGGAGGGTCACTGCAGGCAGCTGAGCCCCAGCTGAGGGCGCGGGGTGTGCGGGGGCAGGAGCCTTCTTGGCCTGCTGGGTGGTCTCTCTCTCTCATTCTGGGGGCCTAAGTCTGCTCCTGCGGGCCGGCTGGGTGCTGCCGTGGGCTGCTTCCCAGACTCGGCCCCGAGCGAGCGTCCTGACAACTGGGAGTCCCAGGCGCTGCGCTGGCCACTTGAAAGGGCTCCCGTCACTCCGTTCTTCAGATCCCACATACAACCAATGCCGTGACGGACCAGGTCGCACACTGAGATGTGTCAGTCGTGGTGCAAGCCACTAAGGCCACCTCCAGCCTCCCTGTGTCAACTGGGGGGACGGGGGGCTGGTCAGGCACCTGCTTTGCGTTCACAAGGACCCAAGTCCCGCTCCTGCCCCTGAGTCACTTGCCCCCCAGCCCTGCCTCCAGGCCCCCCGAGCACGGCGTGGCCAGACCCCCACAAAGGCACCTGCTCCTGCCGCCTGGGTAGCCGAGTGGCCGTGCGGGGCAGGCTTGGTCGCGGCAAGCAGAGCGTTTCCCTCCTCAGTGCGCAGGCTCGGGCTGGACCCCGAAGGCGAGGGCAGCGGGAACGCGGAGCGGCTGGCCGAGCACATCTGCTCCCGTGAGTAGCCGCCCCGTGGCATCCACTCGTGTCTGGGCCTTGGCCGTGCACCAGGGCCACAGTGGGCATGTTTCTGTCTGAGCCGCCCGGGGTCACCCCCACTTCCTTGGGCCCCCCTTCCTGAGGGATGGGGCCACCCTGATCCTAATAGAGCGAGACGCCGAGTGCCGGAAGGGGTGCGGGGCCCTAGTGGGCCCAGCCCTCTGGCTCCGCCTTGCCCACCTACCCTTGGGCGTTGCGTGTGTGCGACCCATCGGCATGGCTCTGCCTTGAACGGGGCCGTGGCTTGGCGCTGGAGCTGGGCCAGGGGTGCTGTGGCCGCCCCCGTGGCCCCAGAGCCCCAGAGGGAGACCGGAGACCCTGCGCGAGTCCGGCTCCGGGCAAAGCCTCGTCATGGGCGGGAGGCTGTGGGGTGGGGGTCTGGCGGCCCCTCCTGAGCCCCTGCGGCACCTGTCACTTCTCCCCAGGGTCGCCGCCCGCCCTGCCGCTGCTGTTCCCCTGTGGCAGCCTCAAAGGAGAAGCCCTGCCCCGTGCGCTCAGGGACCAAGGTGACCCCCAGGGCAGCGCAGCAGGACGGGGTATGGGGGGTGGCCGCTGTCACGGCTCCCTGGCACCGACACCTCCCCTCTGGGCGCAGGCGTCCCCCTGGAGAGCCTGACCGTCTACCAGAACGCCCCCCACCCGGGGATCCGGGACAGCCTGCACAGCTACTACGCCCAGCAGGTGGGTGGGGCCCTCCGGGGGCTCAGGGCTCTGGGAAATGACGGCCAGTCCGGCCCTGTCCACTGTTCCACGCCCAGGGGTCGGGGCTGAGTTTGGGGGGCAGCGGGGCTCTCTCGTGCGTCCATTGGAGACCTCCAAGGCGGGTGTTCACGAGGTCGCCCCATGGCCTCCCCAGCAGCAGAGGCCCCTCGAACAGGAATCCCCCGTGGGCAGGATCCCGTCTCCTCCTCTGCCAGGGGTAGGAGCCCACAGTCCCCCCACCCCCGCCCTGACCTCTCCCTCCTAGGGGCAGTAGCCCATAGCCCCTCGTCCTGACCCCTCCCCCCCCAGGGCGTCCCCGCCAGCATCACGTTTTTCAGCCCGTCCGGCCTGAGCTACAGTCTCAAGCACATCCAGGAGCTGTCGGGCGACAGCATCGGTGAGATCAAGGTGAGGGCAGACAGGGCTGGGGGCGCCTGGCCACCCTCCCCCATCCCCCCCGCCCCCCGGCAGCAGAGCCCAGCCCTGGCGCTGCCTGTTGTCCTGCATGTGGCCGCCCAGGCAAGCCGGTGCCTCCCCCCCGGCCTGTCTCCCCAGCCGCCTATGGGCCTTTAGCCCGGCGTCCTGTTTGCTTCCCCCCTCCTGTCCACAGGGGTTTGACCTCTGGCTCCAGGCCCTGGTCCTCTCTGCTGCTTCCCTGGGGGCCACCCCCACCCCGCTGCTCCCAGGACCCCTTTGAGGCTTTGTTCTGTACACCCCCCTCTTCTCCCCGGCCCCCAGACCCCGCAGCCAGTGAGTGGCCGGGGTGGGGCGCCTCTGCCTGTGTCCAGGCCCCACCTGGACAGGTCACGGGGGTAAAGGTGCCTCAGACAGGGGCCCTGGGCCCACCCTGGTGGTGCGGGGGCCCGGTGGGAACCCCCTGTGCCCTGCTCCCCGCCGCGCTGCTGCCGGAACTCCCTCTCTTCCTCCTACAGTTCGCGGCCATCGGCCCCACCACCGCCCATGCCCTGGCCGCGCGGGGCCTGCCCGTGAGCTGCACGGCCGCGAGCCCCACGCCACGGGCCCTGGCCGCCGGCATCCGCGCGGCGCTGCAGTTGGGCCCCCGCTGAGCCATGTGGACTCTGCACCCAGGAGCCCCTGGCGGGCAGGACATGGCCCTGGCCTCCACGCCCAGCGCACATGACGTCCTCCATGGAGGCCAGTGAGGACCCTGGACGCTGGGGGCCCCGGCAGCAGGAGGGCCCAGAGACTCGCTGACGCCCTGACTGTCCAAGCTTGGGGAGGACAGTTGTGCCCACGTTCTCGTCCCCCAGTCGGGGCGTGAGAATAAAGTCTGTGTGAAGCCGTTTCGTCCCACATGAGAAGCAGCGGCTGTGTCGTGAATCGTGCTGGAGGATGACACGTGTGTCCTGTGTCGGTGGGAGGGAGCACCAGGAGCACGGCGTGCTGTGGTTCCCAGGAAGCATGCTGGCGTGGAATCGTCCGGATGAAACGTTCTGGGCAGGAGGAGGTCCGGGCAGGGCTGGTGGTTGGCCGTCTCTCGCTCTGGAGCAAGACCGCCCGGTGTTCACAGAGGCGCGTGGCCCGTCGGAGTCAGACACCTTCCCTGCTGTCTCAGCCCCTGCCTGCGTCCTCGAATGCAGGGGCAAGAGCTGGAGCTCCAGCAACCCTCGTGGGCAACGAGGGGCCCCAGAGGAAGGAAACTTTGCAGAATAAGGGGGCACCAACACCCCAAAGAGGCCGGGAGGCTGCTGAGCTGGGCTTAGTCTGCAGTTCACACAAAGGTGCTGTGGCCAAGGAGACCACAGGGGCCACCTCTTGGTGGCCGGGCAGCCTAGCTGTAGCACGGGGACACGTGGAGCCCGGGGCGCCCTCCACCCAGCCTGCAGGGAAACCACCCCCCCGCCAGCTGCTGTGTGGGTGCTGGCGGCTCCCGGCTCCTGGGGACGCTGCACAGAGCCGCAGGTCACTTTGTCCGACTGCCCTTTGCTCAGCTGGTCAGGCCTGCCTGCTCCTCCAACACTAACACCCAGTAGGGGACAGGTGGCCTGGGGAGGGGGCGGGGCTGGGCCGGTGGGCCTCTCACAGGTGTGCCCCAAACTTCACACCTAGGTGCCGCCTCGTGGCAGAGGGCTGGGTGCTCGGAGGGGGAGTGAGCTCTGAGTTTATTCTCCCCAACGTGCGGGTGCCCCCAAGTGCTGGGACCCCCTCCTTGTCCCCTGTGGCCTCCATGGAGTCTGCAGGGCCAGGGGCTGGGCGCCTGTCCACCGGGGAGGGCCAGCTCAGGGAAGCACAGTGACCGCCACGGTGCTGACTCGCAGAGCCGCCAGGCCCAGAACATTCTCCGAAGCTCAGCCCCAAGGGTGCCCCCTCGCCCCCAGTCACACCCTCAGAAATTCTGCCCACCCCCCTGCTTGAAGCACGTAGCCCCCAGCATCCGCCCCCAAGGCCAGCAGGACCTCCAAGCCCAGCAACTGGCATCCTGTGTGCCTGGTGGGGGTCGGCCGGAGGGATTGACCCCCACACCACCACCTGGCAGCATTTGGGGAGGCCATTTGGGTCACACCTAGCAGTGCTCAGGGCTCATCCCAGCCCTGTGGGGGTCCTTCTCCACCTGCTCAGGGGGCCATGTGGTACCAGGGTGGAGCCAGGGTCAGCCACCTTGACCCCCATACTGTCTCTCGGGCCCCAGTTTCAGTTGCACGGAGGGGAGAGAACTGTCGTCCAGTGGAAGCTTCTGCATCATTTCAGCCACTGAGTGGAACAGCACGTGGCCTCATACCAGGGCCACAGTGACGCCCAGGACACACACACACACACACACACACACACACACACACACACATTAAGTACATGGCAAGTAAACTGATGGTACAAACACACACGCACATACACTTGTCCTGCACATGGCAAGTCAACTGACCCGCACAGTAGGTCTAATAGAGCGACCCGGTGCCGCCAGCACAGCGGGCAACACAGGGCATCCGGGTCATGCCAGGTTCTGAGTGGCGCAGGGACCCCAGGGGACAGCGAGAGGGAGGGATGGGAGCTGGTCCTATCGGCACCCCCTAACACCCCGGAACAGGCCGCCTCCAGGCAGCCGCCCCACCAGGCGGGGGATCAGGCCGGGCTTCCGGCCACCAGGAAACGCTCACCTACGAGCGGGAGCCACGTAGCTATTTCCAGGATGGGGTCCCCAGGAGCCTGCAGAGACCCGGCTCTGGTGTCGGGCGGCCCCGGGGCAGCTCTGGGGCAGTGCAGTCGGAGGAGAGATCACGGGGCCCAGGGGCCTGTGCCTGCGGTAGCTCTGGCCTCAGACCAGCCCCTCCTGCCAACGCCAAACGAGCCCTCAATTTGGGGAGCACCACACCACGCCCACCCATGTCCCGTCCAGGCTGCCGGAAGTCCAGCACCTGCCCCGAGGCCCGAGGGCCGCTCTTCAGGAAGCAGCTTCCATCACTCTGTCCTTGTCCTTCAGGACTGGAGTTTGAGGGGACAGAGACAGGCCCTGAGCCTCCATCCGTGGGTCCCGCTCACCCCAGTCAGTCCACGACGGCCGTGGGGCGGGGGCCACGAAACTACGCAGAGGGGAGCAGGCGAGCATCCCACAGGTCAGGGGCCGCCCCAAAACCCAGAGTCTGAGACCCGACGCTTAGGGCCCCAACATTTCCCACTTCCCACGTTGGTTGTTTTTTTTTTTCTTTTTGGGTCACACCCAGCAATGCACAGAGGTTACTGCTGGCTCGTGCACTCAGGAGTTACTCCTGGCGGTGCTCAGGGGACCATATGGGATGCTGGGAATCGAACCCGGGTTGGCTGCGTGCAAGGCAAACGCCCTCCCCGCTGTGCTATCTCTCCAGTCCCTCCCACGTTGGTTTTAATATTTCTTTTTAAGTAAAGTTATTTAAAGGGAGAGAAGAGAATGAGCTGGAGGGAGCATCCCAGGGGGGTAGGGGGGACGGCAGGGATGTCCCGGGTTCAGGCGCATCCAAATGGCTCGAGGACTTTCCGGTTTGTTCTGTTTGGGGGTCACACCCTGCAGGGCTGGGGGCTACTCCATACTCAGTGCTCAGGGGTCAGTCCCGATAGCGCTGGGCAAACCTGGGTCTTTTCTATGCAAAGCCTCGCCTCAGTGCACTGAGCTTTGGGGCCTGTTTCCCAGCTGGTTTATTGCAGTCACGTAAACAAGCCCCCCTCACCCACAGGTCACCGTCGCGAGGACCGTTTCTTGGACACTGCCGCTCCCAGCAGGGACACCCACCCCTGTTTGTCTTTCTCCCGGGATTCCACTCTCTGGGCGCGACCCCCTCCAGCTTTATCCGTTTTCGCAGATTTCCGCTTTTCCATACTTCTGTATTCTCCAAACTCAAGAAACCCACAGTAGGGACTGGAGTGGTCATACAGCAGGAAGGGTGTTGGCCATGCACACAGCCGGCCTGGGTTCGAGCAGCCCCGGCATCCCAGGTGGTGGTCCCGGAACCTCAGGAGTGATTCCTGAGTGCAGAGCCCAGGATTCAGCCCTGAGCACTGCCAGGTGTGGTTTCAAAACAAAAAAGACATAAGTAAGACCCCTGCGTTCCCACCTGGGCTCATGTGTTGCTCATTAAAGAAGTGAGAACAATGAATGAGCAGAAGGAAGAGACATGCCGGAACACGGCGGGCAGCTGAGCAAACCGGGTGCCGTGGCACTGCCTGGCGCGGTCACGCCGTTGGGCATGAGATGGGCACGTCCTTGTCATGGGCAGGGCCTAGAAACGGGCAGGGGCCGGGCAGGGGTCATCAGCAGGGCCCGTGCACACGTGTGGCCCCACCGAGAGGGGCGTGTTCGCGACCCCGTGAGAAAGGGCATGGCATGGGGGTCTTCAAAGAGCCGCACCTGCCGCTCACACTCGCACCCAGGTGCCGCCCGCAGCCGCCCGGCCTCCTGCTGGCTCTGCCCACCCGCTAAGAGCCCAGCCGCTCCCGCCGAGGCCAGATGGACGCGCCCGCAGGCAGAGCCCACCATGCACGCCTCCTCCCTCCTGCAGCCCGCCCTGGTGCTCTGCTGCCTGGCCGCGCCCCCGCCCGCCCGGCCTGAGACGCTGTTCCACAGCCGGGACCGCTCAGACCTGCGGCCGCTGCCTGGGCGCCGGGCCCAGCCCATCGCTGACCTCCCGGGGGCGCAGGTAGGAGCCCGAAGACGCCTCGGTCCGGGGCGCACGCACACGCGGTACACACACAAGCACACACACAGTCCAGAACTCACGCACACATGTACACACACAAGCACACACACACACGCCTGAGACCAGGGCACACACACATGCAGTACTCATGCAAGCACACATGCCTGAGCCCTGTACACATGCACACGCAGTACGCACACATGCCCCCCAGGGCACACACCCAGTACACACATAAGCACACACACGTGCCACATGACAGGCACAGACTGCACACACATGCACACTGACTCCACAAGCACATGTGCCTACATGTATCTGTGCCTGCCCGACATGGGCACACACACCTACATATGTGCACACACACGCATGCTCACTTGCTAAGCAGCCCATGTGCCCTCGGTCCACCCCCACCAGCCTCGCTCCGAAGAACGTGGAGCCCTGCAGGGTGGCGGGGCCGGCCCCCTGCCCTGGGCAGCAGAGGAGGCCGAGAGAGCCGGACAAGCAGGGCAGCTCTGCGGGCTGTGGCCAGTGGCTTCCCGGGCCCTCACTCGGGGCTTCCTGACCCGTTTCCACTCGCGACCCTTGGCCAGCCTGGCGTGTGCGACCACCTCAGCTTCTGGTGCAGTCGCTGACCCGATTCTCGGTCACCGCGTGTCCAGAGCCTTCACTGTCCCTGGCGTTGCCACCCCCCACCTGGGGGTACAAGCTCACCAGGGGTCATGCCCCCAGTTTATGGGGCGGGCGTGCTACTCCAGCGGGTGATCGTACAGTTTGCCTTGGTGCCTGCCGGTTCCCCCTTCTGCTCCCCTGGGCCCACCAGGAGGGACCTAGTGTCCTACTGTCCCTTCTTCCTCTCAGAAGCTTCCAGACTGAGCTTCTTTCATGGGATCTCAGGTTCGGGGGGGCTCTCCCCAGGGGCAGTCTTCCCACAGGAAGTGCTGAGCCAAGGCCCAGCTCTGCCGCATGAACGAGGTCCGGGACATCCAGGTGGACACGCCACTTTTGCTCTCCCTCCCTGTCCCCTGGCCAGTGTCCAGACCCCACGACCCCCGTCCTTGGGCAGGGACCCCAGGCGGGACCCCAGGCGGGACCCCAGACGAGACCCCAGGCAGGATCCCGGACAGG